ATTACTTCTTCCCATATTCAGTCTTATCACATATTTAAGAGTCAGGTCAAATAGTCTCGATGCCTGCCCGTCTCCTTATTTTAATCATTTGACTATTAAAAAATTCTCAGTGAGCTCATTTTGTACTCTGACAGTTGCTGTTCATCCATTGTTGGTTTTACTAGTCGGATGGTTTTTTTGGGGGATATTAAAGATATGCAATATTTGATAAGAGAATGAGATGCGCTGTCAACGGTACTATTTATTCTATTACTAAATAAGATAATAAAAAACTGTCAAACGCAGGAACTATAAACAAGAATGCAGTACAAATAATAGGATATGCGGATGATATAACCATAGTAGCAACAGACAAAAGGGCATTAAAAAACCTACCAAGAAATAGAAAACGAAGCCAAACTGAGAGGACTGTAAATAAATGAAAATCAAACAAAATACTTGAACGTAAACAAGAAAAAGAAGACACAAATGACAAATCTGACAATAAAAAATTTTTAGAGACAAGAAGATAAGCAGAAACACAAAAATGAAAATCTACAAAACGACCATAAGACCGGTAGTAATATATGCTGCAGAAACATTTACATTAGCAGCAAGAGATGAAGAGCAATTGAAAGTTTTTGAGAGGAAGATTATCAGAAAAATACTGGGAAAACTGGCAAAGTTGGAAAACAAAGAGGATGCAAGACACTGGATGAATTACGAAATACAAGAATCGATAGGTCAAAAGAAAATATTTAAAGCAATAAAAGCACAAATAATTAGATGGTATGGACACATAATGAAAAGAGAAAAGAGCAATCCGTTATGAGTTATAACGGAATGGATACCACCAGGTAAAAGAACCAAAGGCAGACCTAAACTGAGATGGAGACAGCAAGTGGAAGAAGACTTAAGGAGTATAAAATTAGAATGGAGAAAGAGCAAAGTCACACCAGAAACTGTAAAAGCAAACCCAGAATGGGATGATCCTCCACACAAAAAGGATCTTCAAGTGGAAACAACTTTTGTCTATCAATTGATTCGTAGGCCTGTTTGAAATCTATGAATATATTGTGGACGTCAATGTCATATTAGACATTATATTCCCATGAGAATTATCCATATTTTATTATATTTAATGAGAATTATCCACAATTTTATTTTAAAATACGTTTATTGTGACAATGCGATTTCCACTTCGGAAATCGTTTGGGAATACCTATCAAAATAATCAATGCATGTAATTTGTTTAAAAAAAAACACACTCAATCATAACAGTAAAAGTCTCTCAGCAATTCCATTGTAAGTCATGGGGAAAAACTAAGAAAAAACTCATGGTACTATCTCGGCATGTTAAGTATTTGGTCTTTTATTTAGTTTACTCTCGCAGTTAAAGTATACTGCGAGTTAAAGTGGGTGTATCACTTACTTTTCTACACTGCTTATGTCAGACCCTACGTGACTTCCTAATTTGAAATCTGCAGTTCGATGTTTATTCAGTGGCGCCGGCCCACGGGTTGTTTATTGACAATAAATGCATTATTTTCCATTCAAATTAGTTTTGTCGGAATACTCTTTTTACATTGATTATCGTAGATAATGTTTTAAAAAGAATTAATCACATTTTTAATTTATATGTCTTAGCTAAACATAGTATGGAATAAAAATTTGTGAAACGTGACTGCAAAAAACACCATGGTGTTTATTTATAATAAATTTAAAATTACATAAGAATATTATTATCAAAAAAATTACAATTTAATGTCACAAACAAATAAACAATTTCGCAGTTATAGCTTGAAAATGATTTCAAGAAGTTATTTATTTGTTAGAGAAAACTGATATTAACGTAGTAAAAATTAAACAAAAAATATTTTTATTTATCTATAAAAAATTGGTACCTGCGAAACCATCATAATAGTACATGTATTTATCTGGCAAGTATTTCGAGGCGACGCACTGTGAGGAAAAAGTTCTCTAACTGGAATATACCTACATTATTTTAATATATTTATAGATTGCAGTTACATAAGAAAAGTATCCAATTTATGAATAAAACACAAATCGTGGATAGTTATTTCATCATCATCAGTGGCATTACAGCTCGTCATGAGCCAAAGCCTTCTTCAGAACAATCTTCCATTCGCCCCTGCCTCTGGCAACTTTCTCCATGCTTTAACTCCGATGGATTTTAGATCATATTCTATGTTATCTTGATACCTAAGTTTTGGTCTTCCTCTGGATCGTCTTCCCACTGGTCCTCTTCGGTCGAAAATTTTTCTGATCGTTTCATCTTCATCTCGCCTAATTACATGTCCTATCCATCAAAGGCGTACTAATTTAATAAATTTTACAACGTCAGGTACTACACCTGAAGAAGCATCGTAGTTTACTTACCCATTTCCGTCGGAATCTACTTCACCAATTTCTTTGGCTAAAGCTAAGTCCTCCCGTCCAGCCTCTTCTATGGAATCACAAAGTGTTTGTCCGATGATATTTGAAACTGTCTCCGTATGTTTTGCATACTGCCCGTAGAACATCACAGGTATATTTAATGCAGCGTGCTGCTGCTGACACTACATCGACACTATAACAAGGTAAAGTAGAGGTTTCTGCTAATTCTTGACGGAATGAAATATTTGATGAAGAACTTTTGTTTATACTAGCTTTTTTTGATTTTTAAGTTCCTAAAAATATGAGAAAGAAACAAAATTATTCTAGGAAAAAGTTACGAACTTACTGAAGATAAACTATTATAATATTTTTAAAATAAAACAAACAACGGGTGTTTGTGAAGAATTACGTTCTATATATATATATATATATATATATATATATATATATATATATATATATATACATATATATATATATACATATATACATATATATATATATATACATATATACATATATACATATATATATATATATATATATATATATATATATATATATATAATTAAATATAATATTATATATAAAGTTAAATAAAAGCTTTTAAAAACGGTTGTAAATATATAAATAATAAATACTTACTGTAGTGTAATTGCTCTCCTTTCACTTATATCACTTATATCACTAACCTAATGTAATACTTAAAAATACGCGTAAACTAAAGAACTTTTAACTTATACCACTAAACTAATAATATATTACTTAAACATACCCGTAAACTAAATAATTTCAATGTTTTCAAAATAAATAAGAATACTGTAAACTGTAAAAACTAATCAAGTTGATAAAGAAAATACAAGAATGAAAGAACTAAAATGGATTCTGATTCAAGCGAACTAACTGACCCTACCGTGCGTTCATTAGATTTGACGTCACTAATGCGATAACGATCAAGTTAAGCGACAATGATAAGGAACACGTTTCACTATTAGATTTCTGTATTTTTTAGCAATTTTCTTCAAACTTTGAATACGCTTTTCTCGATTATTACTGGACACAGAAAGGTGAAAAAGAATCAACGTGTTTAGGATTAAACTTGAGAGGTCGCTGGTTAAATTATATCAGATAAATAATTATAAAATGAAAAATGCAATATTGGTTGGTACACAAAATTGGTGAAAATAGCAACTATAAATTGTCAATAAGTTATGAAATCAACTGGTTTACTCATTATCGTTGTTTTGTACTAAGAACTATGGACTTACCCTTTGGTTCTATTGAGGTATTCGTAACAGGTTGAAGAGTTGATCGTTGGGCATCACGACGCCGGGGTCTGGGGCGCCGAGGCTATGGTTAACACGAGACCGGTCTCTGGAGGTGCGTCTAGTTCACTTCACTGTCTTACGAAGAAGTGGCAATGTTGAGGGTTTTTAGAGCGTCTCCCGCACCACCACCCTCTGGTTGGATGGTCAATATCTCGTAGGCCGGGCATGCCATAAATCAACCACTTGTTTCGATCTTTGTATTTCTGACATAGAATACAAAGAAAAAAGCCCAATTCTGCGTACTTTAACATGATAAATGAGAGCCTGTTTAAGTTTTACGAACTCACAGGAAATAATATATTTCAAAAAGGTCTTTAAAATACAGCACCAAATTAGATCACATTACAGTGCCGTAACAGAAAAAATAATAACTGTAAAATTATGAAATGAATTCGCACATACTTTCCCAAACACAACGATTACAGAAAAAAAAAAACTCTTTCAACTGATGGGCGTGAAAAGTTTGGTTATAATAGAACGTTAAACAGGATAATCCAATTTTTCAACAGAAAATTCAAAAAAATAAAAAAAAGTAAAACCATCATTTAAAAGGCAACATAGTTTTTGAATAACATGTCCAAATTTCGAGACATTTTGTCGGTAAATAACAGAGAAAAAATTTTGGTGCACCGATAAAACAGCTTTAACATCAAACTCTAATTGATCTTTTGTTTTAATTTCACATAAGTAAATATAAAATTAAAGTTTGATGGTAGTATTGAGAGTAAACGAAATGTAAAACTCTGTCGGGATAGTATTATAAGATTGTTCTTGGGTTTTCCTCATGATTTACAATGAAATTACTAACATTACTACTTTACTGTCATGATTGGGTGTGGTTGTCTTTTAAAGAGAAATTATTGCGTTTCGCACATGGCCTAAGAAGACATTAGGAAAGAGTCTAGGTATACAATTTCAATCTAGTACCCTGCTAATGATTCCTACCCTTCGACCTTAAAGTACAGTTACATAAACTAAATTTTGTGCCTTACAAATACTAAAAATTAACGAAATGGATTATAATCTAATAATAACAGAAATAAACTAACCTAAGGTACATTTAATATTAACTGACTATTACTGAATTAAACAAGAACACTAAAAGGATTAATTAATTAAGCTTAAGTAATGAAATGAAACACATCTAGAAATAAAGCAAAACAAACCTTGATTGCAGAATATAATTTAATTTTTACTGATCTCTTTAAACCAGTGGCATTAAAAATGTTTATGTCATATTGTTTCTTAATTTGTGAAATTTTCATACAGTTAAGTTAGTTTATCATGTTTTTTTAGGTGACCAAGCAGGAGTTAGCGAAACATAATAAAATAGACGACATTTGGTTGGCCATTCGGGGTAGAGTTTACAACGTGACTGCTTATGTACCATTCCATCCAGGAGGCCCTGACGAATTAATGAGGGCTGCAGGAATAGATGCGACTAGTCTCTTTGATCAGGTAAGACATGAAACAATAATATGTAATTACGGCATCGGAGAGAAGTAATTGTTTAACAGATATCATTATCATTCTTAACGTTCCCAAAAGGGAACGTTTAACGTTTAACGTTCCCAAAAGAATACATCCTTCTTGACAGTCTTTGAATAGTTTTTCTGGCTTTTAAAACTTTTCTTGTAACTTGCCTTAAAAATAAAAATTTTTCGTTGTATGACAATGACCAATAAGTTCTGAAAAACTCCTGTTGTTCTTCTTCGCAAATGGTTGTTCCACATTTAAACTTACAATTTTCCACGACAGTTTTTCTTATAAGTACTTTTTCGTTCTTTGACTTCCTTTCCTCTCACACTTACGTAAGCTTTCCCACTCTGACAAAGGCGTTTTCTTTCACGTGCTTTCCAGTTGGATTCACATTTGTTTCGTTTTCTAGTATTTTTGTCATTGTCATCCCTTTGTAGTTCTACGTCCAAAATAACTGCATTGTTAATGTTCTGTTCCAGATTTTCATTAGTCACATTCGTTATCGAATCCAACTGCAAAATTGTGATGCCCTCACTGAGGGCATCACTAATAATCTAAATATATAGATAGATAGTTTATTTGACTGTAAGTTACAACTAGGTTTACAGCAAGTCAAAACTAAAATTATAAATAATAAATATTACAAAAAATGGAAACAATACATTAAAAGTATTTAAAACATTAAAATACTTAAAAAACGTACAATATAGACATATAATTAAAATATTAATAAATTTGGTTATGTTGCAGCTTAGGCATTCACAAATACACCCTCGTAATATTCATCTAATGTATAAGGACACATGGTCACTAGGTACTCTTTGACTTGGTTTTTAAAAGCTGTAGTTGAATTAATCTTTTTAAAATTTTGAGAAAGTTGATTATACAGTAGTAAACCACAGATAGTAGATGACTTCCTGCTTATTTCTAAATGTCGATAGGGTACTACAAACTGTCTCTTATTTCTTGTGTTGTGTGAGTGAATATCACTGTTACATAAAAAAAGTTCTTTTATTTTTATGAATTAGTATCAATAATTCCAAAATGTAAATTCCATACACTGTTAATATATTCAAATCTCTAAATAGGTTTTTACAAGACCAACCATACGGAACACCTGCTATACATCTGGCAATACGTTTTTGGGCCTTGAAAACGTCCTTTACACTAGAAGAACCACCCCAGACAGTTATACCGTAACTTATTGTCGATTGTATCTCAGCAAAATAAAAAAGACGAAGGTGTTGCAGACTAAGTATTCTACCCAAATTTCTCAATTGATAACATTTAGAATTGAGTTTTTTACATACATTCCAACGATGAGTCTTAAAAGAAAAATGAGAGTCGAAAGTCACTCCTAAAAACTTCACATCACTACAACTCAAAATATCTTCACCATTGATTGAAATACTTAAATCAGGTTTAGTTGAATTTGAACGTGATGTAAAGGATAAAAATTTAGTTTTGTGAACATTGAACAGGAGCGACTGATTACTGGACCAATCAGAGAAGGTCTTCAGAGAGTTTGTTATTTTATCTTGTAAAAAATTTATGTCTTTATCGCGATATAGCATTGTTGAGTCATCCGCATAAACTGATACAAATGCATCAGGCATTACATGTGGTAGTTCATTAATATACAAAATAAATAATATAGGGCCCAATATTGAGCCCTGTGGTACTCTATTCTTATTAATAATCGGATCAGACATTGAAACCTTGAAGTTATTTTTCACTTTAACTATTTGGTGCCGGTCTTTCAAATAGGAAACAAACCAACTATGGGCAACTCCCCTAACACCATATCTGTACAATCTATCGAGGAGCACATCGTGTTGCACACAATCAAATGCACGACTGAGATCACAAAAAATGGCAGTTGGATTTTCACTGTTGAGAGTAAGACTTCCTCATAAAAACTGTTAATGGCTGTGGAAGTAGAAAATTTATTTCGAAATCCATGTTGATGCTTTGTGATAATTTGGTTGATATCTAAAAATAATAAAAGTTGTTTTAGCATTGCATATTCAATAATCTTAGATATCACAGATGGAACAGACAATGGTCGAAAATTTGACATTAATTCAGGATCACCTTGTTTTAATACCGGTGAAATGATAGAAGTTTTCAGCATATTGGGAAAAACACCAGTATTGAAAAAAGCATTTATAATGTGAGTCAGTGGTGTCAAAATTTGAGACGCAAATTTCTTAATTACTATACCTGATATTTCATCAAAACCACACGATGCTCTGTTTTTAATTTTATATTTTATTATATCTAAGACATCTTCCTCTGTTACATAAGATAGGAACAAACTACTTTGAACAAAATCATTGGAATGCTGAAAATTTGTGATTTTTTTGTTTTCCGTTAAGTTCATTTCTAACTGCCCATGTGGTTTTGTTTTTGTTAGAGGATTTAGAGATTTTGTTAAAATAAAATTGACCCTTTGTGGCCTCATCAAGAACTTTGTGCTGATATTTTTTTGTCTATGTAGAGTTTTTAGCTCAGGGTAAGTCTTACTCAATATATACAAATCCTTCAGACTATCTGAAGAATATTGTACTTCTTGGGTGACCCATGTATTTTTTTTTTGTTTTGGTAATGTTTGGTTTCTCTAATAGGACAACTAATATTGAAATAGAACTGTAATTTATCATGAAAGGCATTATATTTACTCTCAACATCAGTTGGATGATAAACATCTTGCCATGTTTCTTTACTCAAGAGATTGTTGAATGCATCTATAACGCCTTCATGTGTTACTCTGAAAGTACTTCGAACTGTTGTCATAGTTAGATTAATAAAATTCAATCTTAAAAGGAATATATCGTGATCCAATTCATTATTTACATTTACAGTACCTACACAATCATCACAATTTTTATATACTTGATCCAAAATATTTCCGCATGTGGAAATCGACCTTGTAGGTGTAAAGTTCCTAGCTGACAAACCAGAAGATGCTAGAAGACCAGAAAATCTGTGTGAATTATTTAGTGTCATGGAATTTACATTAAAATCGCCTGTTAAAAATATGAATTGATTTGGTTTAAAATTTGAATTTAAAATAAGGTTAAGTTTTTCATAAAATACATCAAATTTACCTTTAGGAGATCTGTAACAAACTAAAATTGTGTGTTGATTTGAATTATAATGCCACTTCAGCCCACATACCTCAATATCTTTTTCAACACAGTACTGATCGAGTAAAATGGAATTAACCTTCATATCATCCCTTACCCAAACTGCAACGCCACCACATTTATGAAAAACTATAGTGAAAAACTATAATGCTGTCACTGATTTTTTCGTTATAACATCCAGGAATCTCACGCATTTTGATCCAAGTCAATAAAACACTTTGGTACTTTAAAACTGTTTTCAACAAAACTTACAATAATACTAATAAATCATCGAGGTTAGGTTATGAGAACTTATTTAAATGTTTGTAGATGGTATTTTGTGTACTGAGTAATTGGCGGTTCTTTTTTGCAAGCTAGGACCTTGTTAACTCATAAACACTTTTAGTTCTTGCAGATAGAACTATGTGTACCTTGCTATTCTGACGCAACGAATTGTCTCATCTTTCAGCTTCTGCATATCCCATTTTTTTGTATCCATTTTATTTTCTTTACTGGTGTTTGAAATTCTAGCCCTCAATGTTGAGATTACTAGGCAATGATCTGATTCTATATTTGCGCCTCTATAACTTCTGCAGTTTATTACGTCTGTTAAACGATATAGTTAGTACTTGGTTAGTTATAATTCGACATTGAAATCTAGATTCTCATAATTGACACTCTAAACAAGATAAACTACATACTTTATTATAACCAATTGAAAAACAGACTTTTGTTTTATTTTTAGATCCATCCATGGGTCAACTATGAACAAATTCTTCAAAAATGTATAATAGGTAAACTAGTAGCAATTGACCCACAGATAGACACTGAGAAACTATTTTTCGGCAAAGCAATCGACAACAACATCACCGCCGAAGAGCAACTGCAAGAAACGGACAGCACCAAAGTAGAATATAGACCAGACACAGCACCCGTTCCACAACAGAGCTCTAAGGAAGAGGAGCCACTGAAAGTACAAGACGTAGAAGACGAGGAGGTTGAGAAGGCGTCCGTGTCGACACCTGAACCCCCGCGGTTCGACTGGATACAGAAACTAGATTATATTACTATTATATTTTATACTGGTACATATTCTAATCCATCCTTGGATGTGCACTTTACAAAAGATGATAAAGAACTAGATATATGTATTACTTATAATAATACTATTCATAGGTGAGTTAAACTTTGTTTGTGTGCTAAATAAAAGTAATATTATATCAATATATATTTCTAAGCCACGGAAATAAGCAAAAAAGTTCGCCTCCTCTTCTTTGTTTTTTTTTTGGTTTGGATTGTATAATCATTTAACCAGTACATGTAAGGTTATGCTCGTCTTCCTCTAGACCAGTGGTTCTAAACCTGGGGGGCGAGATAATTTCAGGGAGGCGTGAGGGTATAAAGAATAAAATATATATTTTGTTAAAAAATATTTAGAAATATTTCTTTATTTAAACGTGATTAAAATCGTTTTACTCAATTACACAATCTGAGTTAAACACGACAGTTTTGTGTATGGCAACATCGTAGGAGCGCAAAATATATTTACCAGCACTGTATTGCAAATACACTAATAACAAAAGAAAATCTAAACCCTGGATGACACAAAAAATTATGGGAATGATGGATACTCGAAGAGCCTACAAAAATAAAAATAATGAAAAATATAGGGAGATACATCGTCAAATCAAGAAAGAAATAGCTACCGCAAAAGAAAATTGGATGATAGAAAACTGCCAAGAGATCGAAGAATTAATAAAGAAACACGACAGTCAAACGCTTCACAAAAAAATAAAAGATCTAGCTGGAATGACAAAACAAAGACTCCCTTGTAGATTAACAAACGACGAGAATGATACGATATGGGAATTAAGCGATCTAAACAACGTATGGGGACATTACATAGAAGAACTATTCTCGGACACACCACTAAACAACATAATATATGAAAACCATGAAACCAGTCCTCCTATATTAAAACAAGAAGTAGAGAGAGCAATCAAAAACGCAAAAAATGGGAAAGCCCCTGGCCCCGATGACATACATACGGAAGTCATAAAGCTACTGGAAGAGAAACATTTAAATATAATCGTCAAATTATTTAATCAAATATATACAAGCGGTGAAATTCCACAAGACTGGTTCAAATCAGTCTTTATTCCTCTTCCAAAAACTAAGGGAGCAAAGAAGTGTGGTGATTTCAGACTTATTAGTTTAATGTCGCATATGTTAAAGTTATTCTTGAAAGTTATTCACCAACGCATTTATAAGAAATGTGAACAGGATATCAGTGATGAACAATTTGGCTTCTGAAATGGATTTGGGACACGGGAAGCATTAACCAGTTTTATTATACTGCTGCAAAAATGTCGAAACCAAAAAAAGGATCTCTTTTTATGTTTTATTGACTATCAAAAGGCCTTCGACAAAGTAAAACATGATAAGCTGATGGATTGCCTTCACAAAAAAGGACTAGATGAGAACGATTTTAAAATTATCCAAACGCTGTATTTTAACCAAACTGCAGCAGTTAGAACAGAAGCCGGTGACACAGAAATATTCAATATCAAGCGAGGTGTACGACAGGGGTGTGTATTGTCACCACTACTTTTCAATATATATTCGGAAGAAATCTTTGCACGAGCACTAGAGCAATCAATAGAAGGTGTTAAAATTAACGGCAGAGTTCTAAATAATGTACGATACGCCGACGACACGGTCCTAATTGCAGAGAGCGCACAGGATCTCCAGACACTCTTAGATCGCGTCAGATCGATCGGAGAACAATACGGCCTCAGCATTAACGTGAAGAAAACAAAAACAATGATTGTCTCCAAAAACATCCATCCATCCACCCATGGATTTAAACGTGAATGGTAACATTATCGAAAATGTCGAGAAATTTCGATATCTAGGGTGCTGGATAACGAAAGATATAGATCCAGACATAGAAATAAAATCGCGAATTGAACAAGCAAGAAATGTCTTTTAAAAATGAAACAAATGTTTACGTCCCAAACACTCAATCTCAAAATCCGATACCGAATGCTGAAATGTTACGTTTACAGCACCTTACTATATGGAATGGAGGCCTGGACCTTCAAAATCAACTCACTCAGGCGTTTGGAAAGTTTTGAAATGTGGTTATTTCGAAGGATGCTGAAAGTCCCCTGGACAGCGCATATGAGCAACGAGCAGGTCCTACACAAGATGGGTACCGACAGAGAACTCTTAAAAATAATGAAAACACGGAAAACCTCATATTTGGGACACATATACAGAAATGAGAAATACCAGCTACTGCAGCTTCTTATAGAGGGGAAGGTAGAAGGAAAACGTGGTCCTGGTAGACGGCAGGCGTCCTGGTTGAAGAACATTCGTGAGTGGACTGGTTTGGATTCTCAATCTTTAATAAGAAAAGCCAGGGACAGAAATGATTTTGCTGAGGTTATCGCCATCCTTCATTGAAGACGGCACCCAAAGAAGAGAAGTATTGCAAATTGCAAGCACTCCTGGCTCCAGTTTAGTGACTCCGTCTCTCGCGTGCGTCAGTCTCAGTCAACAGCGCCTGTGTGCTGTTTGTAGCAATTAGTGTAATCGTTATTTAATAACAGAGTGATTGGTTGTGAATTATTTAATAGTGTTGTGTAACAGCTTTGAAAATGGTTAAGTTACTTTCAAAGAAAAGATTGTATTCAGACGATTATATCAAGTATGGTTTTACCTTTATGGAGAAAAACGACAGTCATTTACCTCAGTGTGTCAACTGCCATGTTGTTCTTAGTAATGATGCAATGCTCCCGGACGTTTGGAACGGTATATAATTACAAACCATTCTTCTTTAAAAGATAAAGGCCCAGAATTTTTTATTGCCAAAAAAAGCAGCCTAAAAAAACTTGACTCTACTGCAAATTTTCGTGTTGAAAATGAGAAAGCTGTGGAAGCATCATACAAAATAGCACCTTTGAAATTAAGGAAGTAGAAAAAATTTCTCTCTCAAACGACACAGTCAAACGTCGAACTGATGACATGGCTCTGGATTTGAAAAATCAACTATTGCAAAAATTAAAGGTTCACCGTTTTTTTCATTGCAAAATGACGAAACAACTGATATTTCAAAGCGTGCACAGTTATTGTTTTACTGTCGATTTATTGACAGAAAATGGTTCCTGGAGGAAATATTGTTTTCAACATGTTTTGAAACAACAACTAACGCCATTGACATATTTTTTGCTCTTGAAGATTTTTTAGTAATCAATGAACTTCTATGGGAGAAAGTAATTGGCACTGATGTACTGTACTGATGGGGCCCAAGCCATGAGAGGATGTCGATCTGGATTTATGGAATTGGCATAAAAGAAGAACCCTAGCAATTAAAATATTTAACCAAATCAAATCCAGCACATTAAACACTAGGCTCTTTCAGACACTATGTCAAGAACTGAATAGTGATCAGGAAACCCTCCAGTTTCACACAAAAGTTCGGTGGTTATCCAAAGGAAATATGCTTGCAAGATTATTTAATTTAAAGTCAGAAGTTGAAATTTTCTTAATGATTTCAAAATAAGAAGATCTTCACAGAAGATTTACAGATGATAAAAATATCTTTTACTTGACTTATTTGTCTGACTATTTTGAGACACCTAATGTCCCAAATCTGAAATTTCAAGGCGGTAAAAACCTCTTAAACACTTATGATACAATTAAGGGGTTTATAGAAAAAATTTCGCTTTGGAACGCCGTCTTCACAGTTCCAAGCCAAACTTTTCCTCGTTTCCTAAACTGAACGACTTCCTTGATGATATTCGAACTCTTCCACTACATCTAGTTTCGGATTTGAAAGACGTCATATCACGGCATTTGGAAGAACTGAAAAATCAAAGTACTTTCCAGATGTTAGCTCGGAAAACTGGGACTTTAAGTTGACAAGAGATCCTTTTCATATCGAATTTTGGTTTACCTACTTTCCTGTTTACCCAGAAGTGGCTTAAGTATCTGCGAAGTTATTAGTCCAGTTTTTATCCGCATTCTTTGAGAATCTGGTTTTTCTGCATTGGCGTATATAAAATCAAAATACCGTTTAAGGCTGGACGTTGAAAGTGACTTGAAGTGTGCTCTGACACAGCTTCAACCGAGCATCGAAAAACTTGTCAAGAACAGACAATGTCAACCCTCTCATTGAAAGTGCAAAAACACTCATATAAGACTTTCAACTTTATATGCGTATTTGATTATTTGATTATTCTTTTTCACAAATAAATAAGCAAGGTTAAGTTTAATGAGAGATCAAATAAAATTTCGTATTTAAATATATCAGGATTTTTATTTTGCATCCCAGCTTTTGCTAACGTAGAGTTAGCATCGTCAGTTTCACAATTTCACTGTTCTAACTTGAACCAACCAATTATTGACTGGAGGTGAGGGAGGCGTGAGCTATCTTCAGAATTCAAAGGGGGCGCCAGTGCTAAAAGGTTGAGAAACGCTGCTCTAGACAATGCTCAACCGGGGATAAATTTCTGTTTACTAGTAATTGACAGCTGGGTAATACTTGAATGATGACGTAAATTTTTAAATGTTAGTCTATTCCAGTATGTTCTGAAATTATTTTTTTTTTTTTCTTATATTGACAAGTAAATTTTTTTTAAAGATGTATTTGAAAGAATTTGATAAATTTATTAATTATTTTCATAACTTCGTCAGAGGGATTTTTGCATAGAGTACTATGTAAAGATATTGGATTCTCTATTCCTGCTTTTAATAGTTCTAAATACCGATCCATATTTTTGTGTTTGTTTATGGGACATTCAAAGAAGATATGGATCACTGTTCCAATGGTTTCACATTCCTATTTTGTAGAGATAACAAGAAGTTTTACAATGTTCACTACGTAAACAATTAATATTTGTTATAGTATTCCTGCCCATATACCCACAATTGGCTTACCATGGTTTTATGGGAAATCACACTGCAATTTACAATAATCTGGATCTTTATCGTTAATTTGGAAATACCATTCATTGAAGAATTGTGTTAAAATGTCTTTTTTGTAACACAAAAGATATCTGCTTTATGTTTTTAATATCATATGGTACTCTTAATTCTCTCCCAATATTCGCCAATCTAGCTGCTATCTCATTACCTTTAATCCCCTGATGTCCAGGTACCGATTTTATTCCTACTGAGAATTCCATAGTATTAGCTTCTACCAATATTTTTTTTTTTATTTTGGTTACATAATCCATTTGATCCCATTTGAGACTAGAAAATTTTGATAAAGCACTTCGTGAATGTGAATCCACAAAGATAACTGCTTTCATGACCTCCTTCTTAATGAACACAGAGATAGTTTTATATGTAGCTATCATTTCAGTTGTACAGATTTCTGTATAATTATGGAGTCTTGATGAAAATTTATAGTTAATGCGTGATATATAAATTACAAATCCGTATTGGTTAGTATATATATAATATATATATATATATATATATATATATATATATATATATATATATATATATAATATAAAATTAATATTTCTTGGGTTAGGTTCAATAAAGATATGTTACATGTGGAACTAGATTTTATTTTCCATTGCAATTAATCAACGTTTCGGCAGGAAACCCTTGCCTTTGTCAAGATTCTAAAATGTGTATATATATAAGGACAAAAAGATATTGTAAAATATGTATATATATATATATATATATATATATATATATATATATATATATATGACTTACCAAAACGTAAAACGTGACACAGACATTAACGAACTGACATATAAAAGTTGATATCTGATATCTCATTGTTTACTGTCATTAGTATATAATTATTTTTATATGGGCTTATCGTTGCTGTTTTTGAAAAAGGTAAGGTGGAGATATGTTATGACTTTAAGAGCTTTTTATGATAATATATTGTTATTGTTTAAATCAGATTGAAATATATTTTATTTAGGTTTTGTGTATCTTTTTTGTCATTTATTGCGTTGGTGTTTCTTTTTATTTCTATTGATTCGTATATCTCCCTTTTCTTTTTGTTTTTTTCTGTTTTTAAAATTTTAATGTTTTCAAAGTCAAATTTATGCTTCTTCCCGCTTTCATGTTTTGTGAGCGCAGTGACGTTGTTCTTGTCGTATTTGTGAGAACGAATTCTGGATTGAAGCAGTTGACTGGTTTGACCGATATAGACACCTTCACAGTTTGTACATGGTATCTCGTAAACAACATGTGATTTTTTAAGTTTTGGAGTTTGTGTTTTTAGTTTTGTGAAGTATTTATTTAAGAGGTTGTTGCCTTTGTGGGCTACTGTTATATTATGTTTGGCTAAAAGATTTGTTAGTTGTTCGGATAAACCTTTTATATATGGAAGAGTTGTATAAGTGGTTTTGATACTGTTGGGTTTGTTGTTAGTTGTATTGTTATAAAATTTATTGAGTCTTGATTTGAAAATAGTTTCGATTAGATGTTCGGGATATGCACTCTTTAGAAGGGCATTTTTTGCTTTTTTTATTGCAGTTGGTCTGTATTCTGGATCTGTTAGTTTTTATAGATTTATCAGCGAGACTTATAATTACAGACTTCTTATGGGAAAATGGATGATGGGAATTGTAGTTAAGATATCGTGAAGACCATGTTTCTTTTGTAAACCACATGGTTTTAACTGTATTGTTAATGCGATGTAAGGTGATATCCAGAAAGTTTATTGTATTATTTTGTTCAATTTCTATAGTGAACTTTAATTTTGGATGGTAACTGTTGAAAATATCTAAGATTTCGGTTGTTTTATTTGTTGGAATAGCACATACACAGTCATCGATATAGCGGTAGAAGAATGGTAGATTAAAATCTAAATGACTCATGACAGATTCTTCTAAGTCTTCCAGAACCAGTTGGGCAATGACACTAGATATACTTGCACCCATTGCGCATCCATCCATTTGTTGGTATATTTCGTCCTTATATAAATAGTATGTTAAACTTTTAACATACTTTTTTTTTGTCCTTATATATATACACATTTTAGAATCTTGACAAAGGCAAGGGTTTCCTGCCGAAACGTAGATTAATTGCAATGGAAAATAAAATCTAGTTCCACATGTAACATATCTTTATTGAACCTAACCCAAGAAATATTAATTTTATATTAAATATAATACGGTTCAAGAAACTCAAAACTACTATATATATATATATATATATATATATATATATATATAATATATATATATATATATTAGATTTGAAATTTCCGCGGGAGCTATATGTGATTTCAGTTGTTTTCCGGGTTTGACTCCGCGTTAAGTAATTTAGGTTTTTAGAAAAACCATTGTTTTGACGACGTTTCGGCAAGGTCACACTTGCCATTGTCAAGTCAGATTAGTTCTGCTTCGTCTTGATGTTCTCCTGAAACACGATGTTAAAAAATGATGTTAAAAAAAACACTCTTTTGACTTTTTGTCTATCTTTCGGAATGGTTTTATTCCTCTTTCAAGACACTGTCATAAGATAAATTTGTAACTATTGAAAAAATATCACAATTCTTCAGTGTTAATTTGTTTATACCAAATTATATTTTTGCATATTCTTTATATACTTTTTGGTAACTTCCTTATTCTTTAATTTTTTAAATGTTTTTAGGAATCAACTGGTGTTTCGAGAAGAAGTCGAATGGCCTTCTAACATAAAAATCACATGGGAAACGGGTAAAATTGAATTGACGTTCAAGAAGAAAGCAAGAGGTGTATGGGACAACTACGGAACATTGAACCAATCAACCGAGAATCTACTATCAGGGACGATTAGCGAGAGAAATAATTTTATAGTTAAAGAAAAAGTCCAAGTTACTCATAATATTTTTCTTATGCGGTTCGCAAGGGTCGATGGTTGTAGAAGCGTGGTGCCAATTGGGAAGCATATTAGGGTTTTTATTAATGTAGATGGTAAGTATCAACGTATCTTCATTTAACGCGTACCCCTTTGTTTTTCGTTTAACAATACTTTGGTTAAAAACAGTAATTATTTTTTTAGGTATAGAATCGTCAAGAAGTTACACACCCGTCCCGTTGAGTCTCTTCAACTCGCTGAACTTAAACGACGATACTACTGACGAAATCTGCCTTATGATCAAGAGATACGAGAACGGAGCCGTCAGCAAATCGATAACAGACAGAGAAGTCAACGACATTTTGTCTATGACCAGACCTTTGGGTGATTTCGATCTTAGAAGACTGGAGAAGAAGGTGGCGTTTTTGATTCTTGCCGCTGGGACTGGCATTACGCCAATGCTGCCATTGATGCTGTTCTTGTTGGAGAGGAGAGTGAAGAAATGGTAAGTGATTTTTAACAATAATTCGCTATTGACAAAAAAGTTACTACGGGTTTGAATTCTTAATTCGTTTTCAAGTGTGCTGCATGTGGAATGAAAAAATCAATTCATACGGACACAATCTGACTTTTCTAGTGACGTGGGTACTTTAGCTATTATAAAGGAACATCATTTAGTAAAAGATTGTTTAAAGTGTTAAATGTTCTGCCAATGGGTCTTCTCACATTATTTTGTAAATACCAGCAGGAACTAGGAGAAACGTGGCAACAATATTTAACTATAATTTTTATATCACGTCTTTTAATTAGCTGTAAGACATTGCCAATTTATTCATAGAAGTTTTCTATGGTGTCTTCTTCCTTTCATTCTTCATTCATCCACCAACATTCTTTCATCCTTCCCTATCGAGTGTCTGTCTTCTCCAGTCCCTCACTCCAATCTCCCTCAGATCTTCCTGTACATCGTCCAGATATCTGAGTTTAGGTCGCCCCCTTCTTCTTCTTCCGACCGGCCTGTTTAGCATAGTTATTTTAGTGAGATCACTCTCATCCATCCGCATAACGTGGCCCACCCACCTTAGGCGGTTTATTTTGATGGTCTTCACAATATCTGCATCACCAAAAGTCTATAGAGTTCAAAGTTATATCGCCTTCTCCACAGACCCTGTTCGTTTACTCCGCCATATATGGTCCTCAATACTTTTCTTTCAAAGACTCGTAGTAACTCTTCATCTCGGGTCGTCATTGCCCATGTTTCCGATCCGTATGTGAGCACTGGGCGTATTATTGTTTTATAAAGTTTGCACTTTGTTGCTATTGACATACTTCTCGCTCTTAGTTGAGGGCCCAGGCCAAAATAACAGCGGTTAGCCACGCATATTCTTTTTTTTATCTCGTTGGATGTGTTATTTTTGTAGTCTACCAGTGATCCTAAGTAGCAGAATTCTTCTACCATTTCTATCGTTTCGTGTTGCACCTCTAAGTTATTTTGTTGAATTCTTGATATGGCCGGCATATATTTAGTTTTCTGGATGTTAATCAGAAGTCCGATGTTTTCTGCGGCATTTTTGATACGTGTGAAAGCCTCCACTGCTTCATTTTGGGTTCTTCCAATTATGACGATATCATCAGCGTATGCCATTATTTGTATACTACGGGTATATATCGTACCTTTTAAGTTTATTCCCGAATCTCTCATAACTTTTTCTAACGCTAGGTTGAACAGCGTGCACGATAGCGCATCTCCCTGGCGCAGTCCTCTGTTGGTTTTAAATGGTTTTGAAACATCCCCTTGTACGCGCACTTTACATTCGACTTTCATCATTGTCATTTTAATTAATTCTACCAAACCTTTTGGTATTCCTAATTCGATCATCGCCGAATATAATTAGGACCTGTCAATAGTATCGTACGCTGCCTTAAAGTCTACGAAGATGTAATGGCAGTCTATGTCGTACTCCGTCGTTTTTTTCTAATATTTGTCTGATGGATGATATGTGATCAATGGTAGATTTGTTTTTTCAAGAAGCCTCTTTGGTAGGATCCTATTATATTGTCAGTATACCGTGCCAGTCGTTCGTTAAGTATCAGGGACACAATTTTGTATGCTGTATTAAGAAGGGAAATCCCTCTAAAGTTGGAACATTCAAGAACGTTTCCTTTTTTGTGTATGGGGCATATAATTCCAGTATTCCAATCTTCTGGTAACGCGCGTTCTTGCCATACCTGTATTAGTAGTTTGTGAAGGAGGGTTACAAATGTTTGACCGCCACATTTAAATATTTCTGCGGGTAGGTTGTCTGCTCCGAGTGACTTGTTTCTAGCTAGAGACTGAATTGCTTTATTTATTTTTTCCAAATTTGGTAGTTTAGTGTCCTCCTGTTCTATTTCTATATCCTATCTACCGTCAGCTCTACTTTCTACATTAAGTAGCGTACTAAAATGTTCCTGCCATCTTTCTAGTAATTCCACTCTCTCGTTTAAAAGAATTCCGTTAAGGGCCTTGACTTGGTTCGCTTGTAGCTTGAAAACTTTTCTTTTTGTGTTAACCTGTTTGTAAAATTTTCTGTATTCGTGTTCTCTATTAAGGTTTTCCATTTCTTCGAACTCTTTATTGATTTGTTGCCGCTTTTTCTGTTTGTGATTTTGTTTTTCCTCTCGTCTCTTTACTCGATATTCTTCAACATTGCTTCTAGTCCTTCTGTTAACTATTTTCAGATACGCGTCGTTCTTCTCTTTCGTTACTCGTTGGCATTCCTCATCAAACCATTTGTTCGCTGTCCTTTGGGTACTTCACCCAGCACTTCTTCTGCGGTCTCTTTGAGGGTGGTTTTCATAAACTCCCAATTTGTGTTAAGTTCAGTGGGATATACCTCACTTCTGGGATGTTCTGATATTTTACGATCTAAGCATATTTGGAAGTTTCTTACGACTTCAGTACACTTTAATTTATCAACATTATATTTGATTATTTTTGGTTTAGTTTTATCGTTCCTGGCGTTTGATATACGTGCTCTGAGACGTCCAGCTATGAGATAGTGATCGGAGTCAATATTTGCACATCTATAATTTCTGCTAAACTAAAACCCGAAACTCTAGAACAGATAGAGAAAAGAAGAAGAACGAACAGAGATAACCCGGACTATAAAGCGCTCAACAGAAGCGTTAAGAAAAATATTCGAAAAGAGCTCAGAGTTTATAGAACAAACCAGATTCTTGAAACCATAGAAAACAATAAGAACATGAAAGTACTAAAAACATGTAAATCCACTGGCAGGAATAAAATCATAAAGATAAAAGACGACCGTGGAACATTGTGCTCGCATAAGGAAGAGATCGTTAGAGAAATCCGAAAATTTTATGAGAAGCTGTATACTTCTACTATTCCAAACCCCGGTATACCAACAAAACATATCTTAAATGTGAGCTCAGAGGACTTCCCTGAAATAATAACATCAGGAATTAGAGCCGCCCTAAAACAAATGAAAAATGGGAAAACACCAGGAGAAGATAAAATTACTTCAGAGATGCTAAAAATGGGAGGCACTGCATTAGAAGAGGCAATAAGAGCATTACTTAATAAATGCCTGTTGGAAGGACAAATACCGAAGACATGGAAAAATGCGGAAGTCATTCTACTCCATAAAAAAGGGGACGCCGCAAATATAGAAAACTACCGACCAACAAGCTTATTGTCACACCTTTACAAACTACTAACCCGAATAATAACAAATAGATTGACAGCTAAACTAGATGCATACCAACCAGTGGAGCAAGCAGGCTTTCGTAAGGGTTTTAGCACTATCGATCACTTGCAAACAATTCGGTCCATTATTGAAAAAACAATAGAGTACAACATACCACTACATCTGGCATTTGTCGATTATCACAAAGCATTCGACAGTATCGAGAAATGGGCTTTCTTAACAGCATTGGACGACGCCAGAGTAGATTCAAGATATGCTGCCCTGCTTAAGAATATATACGATGATGCTACTTTTCACGTGAAAATAGATGATGATCTGGAAACTATGAAAATAGACCTTGGCAAAGGTGTGAGACGGGGCGACACCATCTCACCCAAGTTATTTACTTTGGCATTAGAAAATGTTTTCAAACAACTAAATTGGGCCGAAAATGGATTAAAAATAGATGGAGAATATCTTAAGCATTTGCGTTTTGCAGACGACATAGTACTAATAAGCACAGATATCCATGAACTAAAATCAATGCTACAAGATTTAAATCACAAATCGAATCAAATAGGATTAAAAATGAATCTCGACAAAACAAAGATATTAAGCAACAGCCTAGAAAACATCACGATAAATAACATCAATATAGAAAAGGTAGAACAATATATATATATATATATATATATATATATATATATATATATATATATATATATATATATATATATATATATATATCTAGGACATGCAATTAAAAACGAAAAGGAAAATCAAACCCTAGAAATTAAAAGAAGGACACAATTATCATGGGCTGCTTTTGGTAAGTTAAGCTTCATTTTAAAAGACAGAAAAATCCCAATTCACTTAAAACGAAAAACCTATGACACTTGTATACTACCAGTTGCAACTTATGGATTGGAAACTATGGCAATAACAAGAAAAATGGCAGAACAATCAAGAGTAACTCAACGGGCCATGGAGAGGGCCATGTTAACGTTGTTGTAATACCTGAAGGAGAATGGTAAGAGACTGGTATTGCACCGTCTATGTTTGTATTATTATTAAAATGTTCTCACATCAAAAATATATACTTATGTCTTTTTTTCGATTTCAGTCAGTTCGTGAGGTTTCTTTTCTTCAATAGAACAGAGGAAGATATTCCATTTAGGAGTCAACTTGCTGCATTACAAGAAATGGATAGTCGGTAAGCAAAACAAATAAAAAATTTTACCGAGCAATAAATTGTAAATAAATTTAAAAATATACAGGGTGCGGCAGATAAACGACCAATTATTAAATATCTTGAGAACTAAAGGTAACTGAATCGTGAAAATTGAATTGAAGGTGTTTTGAAGAGTGACCTATCTAATGAAAATATTTTCATGTATTTGCTACTTCCGGTTATACCGGAAGTTGCTTATAACTTCGTTATTTTTATGGGACACCCTGTATATTTTTTAATTTTAGAAATATACACGTTATTCTGAACATTTTTTGTTCATACTGCCATATACCTATTGTGAACTGTTTTGAGTTATAATGTTTTTATATGACAATTACACTTTTCTACCATGTATATATAGTTCAATATTCTCTAATGTAATTTAATAAAAGCTTAAATTCTAGAACTTATTAACCACATATAGCATTATAATTTACAGAGTAAAGTTGCCTTTTTCATATATATCGTGCTGTCAGAATTGGCATAAAACCGGCATCCTAAATTTTGCCTAATTCCTTTGCTTTTTCTAAATGGCCACTCTGCATGTGATTCATTATTTTAGAAAAATATGTTTTAGTACCGATCTCTATTAGTTTTCCCTATACCTATAAGAAGTGGAAGAAATGTACCAGTTAAATAGTAACATTGCTAATATACCCAAAAAAGAACCAGTCATAATATTGGGTGACTGGAACGCAAAAATAGGCAAAACAACAACAGAAGATCTGCTGAAAGGAACAGTTGGTGGGTTTGGAATAGGTGAACGAAATGAGAGAGGAGAAAGGCTATTTGCAATTTGTCATCGACACTGAACTTAGTATCATGAACACCATGTTTAAGCATCATCCACGAAGACTATCAACTTGGACTTCCCCATGGGGAAGATATAAAAATCAAATAGATTAAATTCTTGTCAGCAAATGATGGAAAAGTTCAGTAGTCAACGTAAAGACAAAACCAGCGGCTCATTGCGGAACAGACCATAAACTGTTACAATCCGAATTCCGTATCAAATTTCGTAAAAAACCAAAACAAATAAAACAATTAAATATATACCTAAAGAGCGTGGAAAATGCAAAGAAACACTAAGACATAGTAACACACCAAACATTACTGGCGATCCCAATCAAACATGGGAACATACAAAGACGTAGATTATAGACGCAAAAAATATTACAAACCCCAAACAAACCTCAAGGAAAGAAAACACTGGATGACTGATGAACCTAGTAGAAGAACGAAGAAAAATTAGAAACAATGCTTCAAATCCAACAGAAACTAAAAACAATATAGCAATTTTAAACAGACGCATACAATCATCAAGTAGGAGAGACAAAAATAATCATGTTAAAGAAATATGCAACCAACTTCAAGACCACGCCGATTATCAAGAATCTAGAGAACTGTTTGCCATAGTAAAATACTTAACTAGTTAAAGAGTTCAAACGACAAACGCAGATAACTTGAGAAGGATTCATCACCAATCCAGAGGGCATAGCAGCGACATGGAAACAACATTGTGAAATGTTGTTTCATAGTGACCATGAAGACGTGAATACAGAAGAAATAAATGACGAAAAGGAACTACATATTTTAAAATCTAAATTAGAAACCGCAATAAAAAGTACGGAATCGCGCCGGAAGCACTTAAAGAATTGGGAGACATAGGAATTGAAGTAATGTTCAATTTCGTCAAAAAGAAAAAACATCAGCAGCTGCCACTAATGAAGCCAAAAGAGTTTCACAAATATGCAACCTCTGTACCAAACCGTATTGTCTACAATGTTTACAAAAAGTACATTGAAAATGTAACTTTTGTCGATACTTTTTCTTTTTTAATAAACATTTACTATTCATTATATTGTATATTATTTTATTTTACATATTCATTATTTAGTTCACTAAAAGTGAAAACGCAATAAAATATAGGTATTTACTTTCGATATTATATTTTATAGCAATTACGATGAAGTTACACATTTTTTTCCTTTGTCCCATCACTATTTATAATATATGGTCACAGCACATTTTTTAGGAATGTGCTCTACATCGAATGCACTTTTCTAGAAAATCTCCATTTTAGTTTTGTTATCTGGGTACATTTGTCTATCAAATTTGATAGTTATTATAAGTAAAATATAAATAGTAACTTAGAAATTTTCATAAATATGAAATACTGAATTTGTTTCAATGTGTACCACCGGTGGTACAGTTTGAAACATAAGGTAGTACACAATGAAACGTATTAAAAACAACTATTAAATACAAAAAAATGTTTAATATTTCTTCAAGTTACCGTACAATAAAATTGTTAAACTCCAAACCAAATCTATAATAGCAAGATAGTCGTTTGTTTTTTGTATATATGGGTGCTGGCAATAACATAACAAAATCAGATTTCAAACCCATATGAATGTCAGGAACATCTGGAAAGTAAAATGAATTGGAAACTTTCGTGCTTCTTCTCAAATATGAAATTTTAAATTCATAAGAGTTCACAATTTCCAAAATTTTGGCGACATAATGGATGTTCTTCTCAAATTTCACTAACACGAAAGAGTCTTTTAAAATTTCAGTATTTTCAGCAATTGCGTAAGATTCTAAGTCATCATTTTGTTCCTGCATCATAGGAGAACTTAATTCATCATCTGAAGAGTCGGCCAACTCTAAACTTCCGGAGTCTGTTTCTGAATCACTTTCACCTGACTTGGTCTTTTTTCTGGGAGAGTCCTTTTTACAGGCTTTTGTGCTTAAAGCTTTACTGATATTTCGTTTCACTTTATTAACTGCTGCTGTTGTCGGAGTTTTCTTACCTTCCGTTTTATAAGAAAGGTCTTTCATTTCTGGTGTACTAGTTAAAATGACACTTTTCCTTGATTTCCGTCTACGATTTGAATTTTTTCTGGGTGCGGCCTTAGGAAAACCCCGTATGTCGAATGGGGTAATAAAATAACTTTTTGATGTCGACGGTATTTCAAGAGTTGAGTTCGGTTCAGTTTCTTGGGTTGTATTAGATGAAGTAGAAGCTGTATTAACTGAAGATGAAGATACAAATGCATTTTCTTCGTGATTGGTAGAATCTCTTAGTACAACCATAGCTTTTTGTCCGTCATACTTTTCAAAATCATTAATCGGTCTGTCAGTAACTGACGATAATAGAAAATTAGTTTCACTAAAAATATGTCTATTAAAAGGGTAGATACCTGTAGATTTGAAGCCGTTCAGAATATTTTCAGGATTTTGAGTGGGCAATACCAGCACATTCTGCTATTTGGTACAGTGTCATAGGAACGCCGGGGTGGTTAAGAAGCCATGAATCAATCGCACTATTGTAATAGTTTTTGAAGGAAAAATAAACTGATTTGTCCAAAGGCTGTATCTTATTGCTTGTATGTGGGGCAAGGTTAAAACTATTATACCATTAGCTTTTGCTTTTTCTGCTATTTCCAGAGACATATGGGATTCGTGATTGTCATATATTCATAAACACGGGTTTTCTTTTCTAGCACCAGTATGCTTAATAAAATGATCTAGTACTTGTGTGAATAGTTCGGCGGTCATCCATCCACTTGGATTAGCTAGTCCTAATGTTCCTGGTGGAGCACCATTTAGCATAATCGTATTAAACTTTTTACGAGGAAAAACAATGACCGGAGGTAGAAATGTTCCATTTGCTCGAATTATTGCACAAGTAGTAGCGAGTAATCCTCTTTCGGCGCTTGTGCACTGGTTCAGCTGTTTAACACCTTTTTGTGCCACAACTTTATGTGGTCGTTGGACAGTCGTAGTAGCAGTTTCGTCTAAATTGTAGATGCGAATATCTTCAACAATTGATGGATATTTTACGTATATTTGCTCCAAATTTACGAAAAACCGGTCAACATTGGGTTTTGTAAATGAAGTAAGCCTTGACAGTGAACATCCTTCTGGCTTTCTGAGGCTTAATGATGAATTTCTTTTTATAAATGCCCTTAACCAATCTTTGCTTGCACATTTGTTGGCCTTCCAAGAGTCTGGCATAGTGATATTGTTTTTAGCAGCCATGTCATACGACAATTCTCTAACTTTTAGAGTATTCAACCCAAAAGCCATTTTGGTACAGTTCTTAATATAATCACACATCGACGTCTCATGCTCTGTGTTAAATACTAATCTAACAGCATAATTTGGCTCCATTTTTGCATTTGGATCATTTTTTTCTTTTAGAACGTATCGCCTTAATGTGCTAAAATTTACGCCAAACATATCTGCCGCAACGCGAAGTGCAGTTCCATTTTTTTAACCTCTGTGACTGCTGCCGCCATTTGTTCACTTGTAAATTTGGCTCTGGATCTTTCTTTCTTCCTCCTTACCATGGTACACCTGCAATAAAATGCCATTGTTATAGAATGATTCAGTATGGTACACAATGAAACATGTGTCATTGTGTACCACCACTATATGTTTCAATGTGTACTACCACAGGTTTAAAGTTTCAGTTGGATGTAAACAGAAAACCCGGCAATTATTGGCAACGATATTTATAGGTTAAAAGGCATTCATCACAAGTATTGTAACGACATAAATACGAAAATGAAAACTATTTATTTATAGGCAACATACCTTTTTATAAACGCTTCAGTTTTTAAATCTCAGGCACACAAAACAATAAAACACGTCGTATAATGTTTACTACTTCGAATATCAAAGCGAACTACTGTCGGCAGACGCAATGCATTATGGAGTATCCGTTGAAGCGCTAGTGGCAATGTGGCGGCAAATTTGATTTAGTTAATAACAGTGTTTCATTGTGTACTATGTGTCAATGTGTACTACTCTCCCCTATATGTTCAGTCAAGTCCACGTCTAATAAAGACCATTCTCCCCACGTCCTCTTTTATAAACAACTTGAAAATTTTATCGACGAACAGAGCACATATGGTCTGTGAACTAGTAGGGCTTTTAGTCCACAGACCATATGTAGTCTGTGGACAGTAAACCTGTTAAAAATCTCCATAGATTTCAATGTGATAAAATAACAAAGAAAAATCATGAAATTAAATTACTTTTATCATAGCTATAATTTTATTACTAATTAAATTTTTTTCTTTTAGTCTAACCATAAATCACGTACTTTCCGAGCCATCAGCCTCCTGGACAGGATTGTCAGGTCACGTGAACAACGAAATGATCAACAACGCCATCCAGGAGCACATCAAAGACACCGGTTATACGATAAGCGACATCTTCGCCTTCATCTGCGGACCAAACCAGTTCTTGGAACTGTCCCTTGATCGACTACGTAGTTTAGATATAACCGACGAACAAATACACACGTTCAGCGGATAGCACAGCGCACACTTTGACCGGCCTTCATTCTTCTGCGATACTCAGCCATTTTCCAGAGATCTATCTCTTGTTAGAAACATTGTTTATAATTTTGTTCTTAATATTTTTAATTTTATTGGGCAAAAGAGCCGTTAGTAATAAAGTTGTTTTATTTATTTGTAGTTTTTCTTTTAGAAAATTAATGAAGATGAAATTTGATCTAACCTATTTCTTGAGACAATTTAAAGTATCACAAAAAGTGATGCACACTTACACTACCTTAATCTAGATCTGCTGCGTTAATTCTCTCAACAGAATCTTCGTAAAAATAACAGATTGCATTAATGAAATCATTTTGGTTGATGATAAATTTAAGAATCTCCCTATTTGAACTGCTTGGCAGCTCGGAGTTATCAGATGGATGAATTTGACCAACAACTTCTTCAAAAGAGAAATAGTAAACATCTGATTTCGTGGAAAATCCATAAATAAACCCTGGGGATTGCTTGGTTTGGCAATGCCTCAAAAAAGTTCCGTAAATGTCATCGTTTTCATCAATACTTTTCCAATCTGATAGTTGAATGGATTCTTTCGAAACGAGATAAACCTGTTTAAAAATTCTACCTTTGTAGGATACACTAAGAACAGGAACAATTGTCTGTCCACGTTTTTGATTTTCAGCAATTTGGCTTAAAGGAATATTCATCTCTTCATTATATGATTCGACCTCCCCTTCACCTCTGTTAACACCTCTTCATCTTCACTCGATTCATTATCTAGTATATTTTTGTCGTTATGCGCATCTGAATCAAGCTGTTCGTCTTCACTTTCTTATTCTCTAAAGTCTTCTCTAGTTACACTTTTACCAGCTACTACGGCGACCTTATTTCTCTTTCGTCGTTGTGTAAGAGTATCAGAATATCTCATGAATTTAGCATATTAACCACTACATTGCTAACATCTTCTTCTACTTCTTGAAAATTTGCAGTGTTGGCACTAGGAGTCGGTTTAGGACTTGATCACGGTCTATCGGGTAGATCCCACATTTTCTAAAACCAGACTTATATTTTTTTCTTGCTTGGGTCTGATGCTGTCCATCAGCTCTCATGAGATATCATGTTCTAAACACTCTTGCTCTCTAAGCGTGTCTTATGTCGCTTCAAAAACCCACGTACAAAGTCTTTTCCCGGTAAGTTGTTGTTAAACTTAGGTACATTTTTACCCCGACTATCTAGGTATGTTTTTACCATTACTCTAAGATCGTATTTATATAAGGGATAGCTCCAATTAGCACAGGTTATCAATTGTTTCAATGTAACTTCCTCTTCCAACTTTGTTAGTCTAGTTTGTCCTCCACATGTTTTTAAGTTATCGTTTTTGAGGTGCCTATAGAGCACTGAATAGTTAATTTCATGCCCCTTTCTAGAGTCTCACGATTGGTTTTTTTTTTGTAAAACTTCAACCTTGGATTATGTACATAGTGTTGTGGTTGTACAATGCAATCATCAGTGCAAAAACATATCCTGGAACTGACATCAATTCCGATCATAATACTGTTGTTGCAAAAGTTCGCGCAAGATGGAAACTAATAAAGAAACAAAAACCTCAACACCAACTATTAGACATCCAATTATTGAAAAACGACACCATACATCAGACAGTAAATAAAGAATTAAACAAAAATTTAGGAAATATCGACCACAATAGAATTAGCAAGTACGATGACATAAACGTTCTGTGGAAAACTATTAAAGAACAAATGAACAATGTAACGGAAAAACATCTAAAAGTAACACCTAGAAATAACAAACAGGAATGGATGACAGAAGAGATTTTACAATTAATGAACAAACGAAGAGAATCTAAAGGAAAAAATGACAAGGACGGAGAATACAAAAGACTAAATAGAATAATTCGAAAAAAAAATAACCGAAGCAAAAGAGAAATGGCTGGAAACAAAATGCGTTGAAATAGAAGAACTGCAACAAAGGCACGATTTTTTTAATTTACATAAAAAGGTAAAAGAGTTTACATCAACTACCAAGAGAACGACTTTTCACACCATGCTGAACACGGATGGCAAACTGCTAGAATCAACGGAAGATAAACTGAAAGAATGGGAAAACTATATTAAAATTCTTTTTCACGACATACGAGAAGAACCAAGATTGGAAAATAATAACGAAGGGCCAGCAATTCTGAAATCTGAAATCATAAATGCAATTAATCATCTCAAAACAAATAAAAGCCCAGGTCCAGACGGAATATACCCAGAAACGTTAAAATTAATCAGCGAAGAAAATATCGAAATATTTGTCCTTTTATTCAATCGCATTTATGATACAGGTAAAATACCCCAAGATTGGCTGGAGTCAATATTCATCCCACTACCAAAAAAGCCAAACCCACAACACTGCAATGAGTTCCGTCTGATAAGCCTTATGAGTCATGCAGTAAAAGTCCTACTAAAAATCGTACATAATCGTATCTATAGAAAGTGCGAAACAATCATCGGAGACGATCAGTTTGGATTCAGAGCCGGCATGGGAACGAGAGAAGCCCTGTTCAGTTTACTAGTTCTCGCCCAAAAATGCTACGACCAACAGAAAGATATATTTATATGCTTTATAGACTTCGAAAAAGCATTTGATAGAGTAAGACACGACCTACTATTAGAACGTTTGCAAGAAGTCGGTTTAGATGGAAAAGACATCAAATTCTTAAAAAACTTGTACTGGAACCAAAATGCCAGAGTTAGGATCGAAGGTTCCACATCCGCAGAAGTAGAAATTAAGAGGGGAGTTAGACAAGGATGTGTTCTGTCGCCTCTGCTGTTTAATCTTTACTCCGAGTTTCTATTTAAAGAAGCATTGGAGGATTCCAAGGATGGAGTCAATGTGAATGGCGTAAATATCAACAGTATCAGATACGCCGATGATACAGTGTTAATTGCGGATTCCGACTTAGGTCTACAACGACTCATCGACAAGACCAACTCGACCTGTGAGCAATTTGGTATGAAAATAAACATTAAAAAAACCAAAGTGATGTCAATCCGAAAAAACCAAAACGTACCTCAACCTTGCACAATAAATGGGCACATTTTAGAACAGGTCAATAGATTTAAGTACCTGGGATGTTGGATCGATAGCAGCCTAAATCCTGATCTAGAAATAAGATCGAGAATAGAACAGGCCAGAAAATCTTTCGAAAAAAATAAAAAACTGCTTTGTGATTTTCGAATAAAACTCGAAATTCGACTACGTTTATCAAAATGCTACGTCTGGTCGACTCTTCTATATGCAGTTGAAACGTGGACCCTTAAAACATCAACCGTAAATAAATTGGAGGCCTTTGAAATGTGGATCTACCGGAGAATACTCAAAATTTCATGGACATCGCATACCTCAAACGAAGAAGTGCTGCATAGAATAGGCAAGGAAAGAGAACTTTTTAACACAGTAAAAGTTAGAAAAACATCATACCTAGGCCACATACTGAGAAATAATAAGTACCAATATGCCCAACTTATAGTGAAAGGAAAATCGAGGGAAAGAGAGGCCTAGGAAGGAAAAGACTATCGTGGCTCAGAAACATCCGACAATGGACAGGGCTAAATTTTGAACAGCTAATAAGAACAGCTGAAGATAGAGAAGAGTTTAAAATTGTAGTAGCCAACCTCCATTGAGGAGAGGGCACTTTAAGAAGAAAGTTGTGGCATGGTTAATCTGAAAGCAAAATAAAAAATACTGGAGAAAAAAAGAAGTAAAATAAAAATACTGGAGAAAAAAAAAGAAAGCGGATGAGTGGAATCACAACAGTGGGTGAAAAGAAACGGCGGGTGATTAGACACTGCTGGTAAATAGAAACAGAGGGTTAGGTTTTTACAAAACAACATTCAAATTAAATTACTGATATGTTCTAATAAATGTGCCAAGTATTAATGTTAAGTATACACCCTAAGCTATAGTATGACTAAATATCTATTTATTTAATTGATTTTTTTCTTACCTTGTTACAAAAGTTAATCAGCTCTTTGATACGTGGCAAAATCAGCTGTTCAACTGTTGTCCAGTGTTGCCATCTGTTAAAATGCAAAATCCCCTAAATTGGCCTTTTTTATCATTTGGTGAGTTTGTGTACCTCAATATTTATTTCCCAGATTAAATTTAAACAACATGATTTTTTAGTAAAATGCTGTTATTTAGTTTCTATTCACCCTCCAGTTTCTTTTTGCCCCGTTCTCGCTTTGCTATTCTTGCTCTCCTTATACTTAAAGTTAGTAGATTCTCAGTGATTTAAAGATCTAAATTTTGATAGACAAACTCACTTCTTTATATTCTTTTCTAATACTGTAATTTCGTATTAAGATATATAGCTAGATAGATAGATAAATAGAGAGTAATAAACTATTACAGAATAATATGTACTATAACTAAAGAATTAGGTAATAAAGTAACTAATTCAGGACAAAAGTGTCCCGAAAAGTGATTAAAATTTCTGTGAAATGACCTTCAAGTCATCATCATGGAATTTAGACTCCTAGCGTAGTGATTGCCGTCCTCTTAGCGTCATTAACCGTCATAACATTTTGGTTTTTCACTTGGGTGTGTGACTTCGAGTCTTCTACAATATTTCTCCATTCTTTCCTGTTTTTGCTTATGGTTTTCCAATCTCTAACTCTCATCTTATTAAGGTTCGCAATTTTCTGGTTCTCCCATCTCGCCTTCCGTCTTCCTCCTAGTATATCTGATACTGGTCTCCGTTTAGTGATTTGCTTGATAACTTTTTCTGGATTTCTCTTTTCTAGACGTCCATCCATCCATCTGTCTCTGTGCCTTGATAAATCTGACGATGTCTTCTCCTTTCAAAAGTTTTCTTACTTCATAGTTCATTAGTTTTCTAAATTCATTAGGGAGGAAGTTGTTGTATTTCCAGCAAGTTCTGTTTCCTATCAGAAATCTTTCATTGATTACTACGCTTCTTTCATTAGTTCCATTAAAAAAAGACTCCAAGATATTTAAAGTGTTTTATCTTTTCAAACTCATATTCACCAATATTTAACCTTGTCACATAAACTGTACTTTTTCTTGGAAAATGAACAATTCTATAATGATACTATAATGGCTACGATAAACTTTGAGTTGATGGATATTGAAAGGAAGCATCTACCAAATAAAGTATTCAAGTACGTATTAGAATTTATTTTAGTAAATGTCATTTTTATATATATTGTTGTACAGATTGAATAGACTGGCCCTTCAATATGGCCATCATGTCTAGAGACTGCCTCTATATCATTGTCAATTCAATTCAATAGAAAATGGGGATCTGACTGCAACAGGTATTATGATGCTAATATAATTCTGCTGGCGTTACAAATAAAGTCGCATTATTAAATGTTTGAATTGTAGAAAGCAAACAATTTTGGCTGCACTACATTTTCGTTTGATTTTGATGCTCTTTGCCACCGTTTTATGTGAACTACTGGTTCAATGGTATCATAATTGGATAACAGAACAAACACTATTGTCATAACATTTCACACACAAAATTTCATTAGTTTTGTCGAATCTATAATCATATGCACCGCTTGCCATTTTCTTCATTAGCTTAGACTCCATAAATTATTATAAATAAAACAGTAAATGTGATTTTTAAGTGTTTCCATATTTATAAATTTAATTAACAATATCGTTTACTAGTTAATTCACCAAGTGCAGTTAATGCCATAAGCTTTTCACCTGTGGCTAAGTACGATCCTGGCGTCTGTCAAATTCGTCAACAATTACATGAAATATGTAAATCATCGAGTTATAAGAATATAACTCGATAATTATTATCAAAGAATAAAGATGCATAACGTCTATACTCTTTGATTATGTCACATAATAATAAACAATCAGAGACTCGCGTGGAAAATTAAGTACGCGCATCTTCTTCGCGCAGACGTTCCACCATGTTTTAAAGGGAACCAGTGTTGTTTATGTGGTGTACATAGAAAAATTAACCCGGTTTAATTGACTTACGGCAATCATAGACATACTATACAATTATATTAACATTGTTAAATATAATAACATAAATATAATATAATTAAACATAAAAATAAACAATTACATAACCTCACAAATCATATGTCTGTGTTATGTGTTTCCTTCTAAAACATGGCGCGCGTGCTGAAAAACTTCAAAGGCGGCATCTGAGAGTGGACATTCAGATTGTTTATTATTCTGTGATTATGTCCTCATAATTAATGGCACACGGAAAGAAGGCTCTGAGAAGAACCAAATCACCAGTATATGTCTAAAGTAGTAACGTAATAACTCCATTGGAGAAAAAAGGTAGTTTCTTAGAAAAAGTTTAAAAAGTAAAAATTAAGTTTTTTATTCTAATAGTTGAGGACCTATTCAATGATCTTCATTGTATAAAAATTTGACTAAAAAACAATTTATTCCAATTCGCTAATATACTTTTCAACTTCTTGTATTAAATTATCTTTTGTTTACTTAACTTCCGTTTGCAGCCGGAAGAATGGATATGTAAAAAACGTCTATTTGCTTTTTGAAATAAAAATAGATCTGTGTTTATTGTTTCAATGAAAACTCAGGAGAGATTTATAAACCAGACTACGGAAAACGCCAGATAATAGTTTCTTTCATGAAATTATATGCGAACGAAGTAATCCGAATACGATGAAGAAACGTGTATTAGTGTTTAGCTTGTTGATATTTATATTTAGTTTTATTGCTGGTGAGTATTTAATTAGATAAGTATACAGGGCTGGGAGCTTTTTGTTTGTTTAATTACATTTGAGAAATCATTACTGGAAGTATTCACTTTTTTCTTTTTCTGTGATTATTTTACTTAAAAATCGTAGTATGGAAACGACTGTCTTTTCTGTTTATTTGTATTCCACTTTAATTATATTCTAATTGAAAGGCCAAATGGAAGTAGGTGGTTGAGAAGTTACAAAAATTGGTTTTCAAATAATCCACTTTAGTGAAACTCTAGAACTAATACATTATTGGGTTTTTGTTAGGACATAAGCAATAAGTCTTTTAATATATATCAAGTCTTTTAATACTAGCAGTTTCCCCTCCTTTTTTTACCAAAAATGTACATAGCACCTTCTTCTATTATTACCAAGTGCTAAAAGGAATAGATTATTTACCGAAATAAAGTGTTACCTACAAATAAAAGCATTTATTTATTCTCAAAATCAGTAACAGAATGACATTATTGTTAAAATTAAAAAAAAACATATTTTAAATGGATATTATTACTTTAGTTGACGTTTTTGCGGTATTGGAGCATTTTTGTTTTGTTCATATTCACGAATCACACGTTCGTAATATCCACGATGTTCTTCTGAAATATATGGCAAATTAGTAACAATATCAGCAATTTTTTTTGTCCGATATACGACTCTTTGTTGTATAGGTAGCTTCCAAATTCATCGATTTGAATCCACTTAATGCCATCTCCGAAGCGAATCTTTTGATTAAGTAAATGTTTTTTTTCTGTTTATCAGACCAAGCTCAGTACCTAATTTATCAAGGTCACCAAAATAGGTTTCCATATCATTAACCATACAATTCTTACCGATGGCAGATTTAATTATTTCCCGGTAATGTTGCGGTGTAACTATAGTTCCAAGTATTCTAAGTTTAGTGCGGTCATTACTGATTAAGTTAAATCTTGTTCTTTTTTTTATATAGTCATGACTCTGTTCTGTTTTCGTGGTCTTCCTACTGATCGTCTTCCTTTTGGGGAACCGTCTCTTGCCGTCTTTACTACTCTATTTGTTGTTATTCTGCTTATAATATGATCGTTCTATTTTACTCTTCTATTTCTTACCCAGTTCTTGATGTGCTCCACCTTGTATCTAGTGTCTTACCATAAATTGTTCTGTTTCCATCTCTGCTGTTTCTAACATCCTTTTTGTCCTCTTTGTGTCAGGTCTTATTTCTGCCATGTATGCTATTGTTGGTCTGATGACTGTTGTGTAAATTCTGCCTTTCATTTCTTTTTCGATATTTTTCTTTCTCGATATTGTTTCATTCAGAAAACCTGCGGCTCTGTTTGCTCTATTCACTCGATCTTCCACATCAGTTTCGAGCTTCCCGTAGTTAGATATTGTGATGCCTAGATATAATACAATATTTTTAGAGTGTTGTTAATATCAGTGTGCACACTGAGTGAGCTTGTTTATTGGAATTCAGAATAGGTGACCGTCGATTTAAAACAAATGATCTCAAAGTATTTGACGCATAAAAAGTTACTCTGTATTTAGAACACTATTCCCCAACTCCTTTCAGTTGATGTGCTAGTCCGAATACCTACAGCAAAAAGGCAGTGTCTTCAACTAAAAGAACTATTTTAGATTATCTTAGTTCTATTACCCATAACTTTAATATTTAATAATTATAAAGTATTTAAAGTAAAGTACTTTTAACACCCTGTACCTCAATACGCAGTATAATTTATTTGGAACCTAATTATCAAGCAAAAAAATTAATATTTCTCGCGATAATATCTTCAGGTAAAATAATATTACCATATAATATTCCGTTAGCATAATTTTACTTAGTTGCCAAAAATTCTTAACAAAGTTTCGAGTGACGCACAACTTTTTAGATGTGTTTATTCATAAATTTCAATCACCGTGGTCATTGACGTATTAAATTGTCAGATTAGTTTGCCAACATTTAGGAATTATGACTAATTTTATGCTCAAACGAAATTGTTGGAATCTCTGATGTTTATTATCAACTACATTTAGATTTATGGATGCATTCCCAGCTGTTAACACCGAATGTTGATGCTATGAATCAGTTTAAATGGATTAGTATACAGAATGAAATAAAATAGACACATAATAAGAGTAAACTTATGTGACAAACTTTAAAAATGTATAATAGAAATAGACGGATAATAAAATACTTGGTGTTCAAATAAATAGTATATTCCATTCTTCTCCATGCTCTCTTTAAGCAATTCTGCTTATTTATTGATATATTTATACTTCTATGGAAGATTGTTAGTTGAGATTATGGGTACTCAGTTGACTGGTATCTACCTTAGCACTCTAATGTTTTTGTTTCGAGTAGGGATCTGTATGTTCCCTTAAAGTGAAATCCTCTAACATCGATCTTGTGTCACAATATTTTAAAAAAGTATTTTTTATTTATTTATATTTCAGGTGAACCTCTGACTTGTTACAAATGTAGAGACTCTTTGAAAGGGGTTTGCATAGATGGTGATAAAAACAAAATGAAAACAATAAAATGCTATGAAAATGAGGTTTGTGTAACCATTCAGTCCAAAAGTAAGTGTAAAATGAATCTATTGTTATTTTTAAGGTTTCTATTTAATAATTCAAACCATTTGTACGGGAGTAATTTGGATATTTAGTTCAAAATCTAGCAAGGTAGCATTTAAGTCTTCAGGCCTCCAAGACAGTACTAGGATTTGTTTTTTAACCAGGAGTAATTCAAATTACTGCGCCGTAATGCTTGTTTATAATTGGTCCAACCGCAGGCAAGTTTACTCCACTAAATTATGACATTTTAACACTAATGGCATTTATGAAATTATAAAATTCAAAATTTATATCGACGATTATTTGTATTTTCTGCGTTATTCCTTTAATTTTTAAATTTTTCGTTTGCATTTATATAAAAAACAGTTTTTATCAGAATTATTTAGCGACGTATTAGTGTTATTAAGATAACAATATAGATTCAATGTCAAGTACTAGTGGTAATTATCCTTCTCCACCTAAAAACGCCGAGTAGATTTGGTCATTTATCATCAAATGAAAAACAATGCATTATAAACATGTACAAACAAATAAAAATTGATAATCCTAGAATGAAAATAACAGCCATGGTAGCAAAAATAAAACAGGCAACAGGTTAGTTTTGCAGAATAGTTATTGTTAAAATCAAGACTTACAAAGTAATGAGCTAATTTTAGGTGTTGCGAATTCAACTATTTACAGAACAATTAAGGAATATAAGCAGACTGGACCAGTAAGATGTCTTAAAAATATTGGCGGTTGACCTTCTATCTTTGCAACATACGATAAAAGAGTTGAAACATCTGTACGACAGATAGTACACAGCTTCTTTTTCAAGAATGAAATGCCCACTTTAAATAAATTCATTTTTGTAAGGCCTGAATAATGAACATAAGTCTATACCTGTAATTTGAAAAATGGACAATCCCGTAAAAACTGGTTATATTCCTATAAAGTAGCATACAATATTTGTTGTTTTTCTGCTACTAATTATGTGTGATGTTAAGAACTGCTTTGGTCCAAAGTAAGCTCTGTTCGCCAGGTATATTCTTCTCTTAATTTCTACGCTTACTAGGTTGCTGTTATTTAGTTGTGTTCCAAGATATATAAACTCCGAGACCCCTTCGAATGTGTGTGCTTCGAATATCTGTACACTTCTATTGATGATCGTACCTCTGGTTATTATGCCCGATTTCTGTATGGCTCTTTCTAGCGCGATGTTAAACAATAGACACGATAGACTGTCTCCCTGGCGTAATCCAGTATATGTTTGAAAAGACCTTGACACTCTGTTTTGTACCTTGACTTTGCACTCAACTTTCGAAAGAGTTGCTTTACCAATGTTATTAGATGCGACGGAATATGTAGTTCTGCCATGGCATTATAAAGTGCGCTTCTGTCTACACTGTCATAAGCACTTTTAAAATCTATGAAGAGGTGATGGGTATCAATTCCATATTCATATGTCTTTTCTAAGGTTTGTCTGAGAAGGAAATTCTGATCAATTGTTGACCTTTGTTTTCGGAATCCACATTGGTATTTGCCTATTTTTTCATCAGTATATACTATAAACGATTAAAGTATATACAGTACTTTGTAAGCCGTATTTAGGAGGTTAATGCCTCGATAGTTGTCACATATTAGTGGATCCCCTTTCTTGTGAATAGGTATTATAATACCTACATTCCAACTGTCTGGGAGTTTTCCTTCTCTCCAAATGGATGCAACACAATACACAGGTCAATACATCATTAACAAATTCGATCAGTCAAATACATTATCTTGGTTGAATGGATCGTCATTATTAATTAAATCAAAAAAAGTTAATGCGCTGATGAAATATTGTAAAATTCCATTGGATTTTAGACATAATTTTTATTAAGAATATCGCTTTTGTATACGTTCCGGACGATTTTCTTCTAGAATGTGATAAATAAACTCTAAAAATTCTTCAACTTCTTCATAACAATCCAACATTTTTTGATTGTAATTAGAAAAACAAAAAAATATATATTGTAAGTGACTTGTAAAAAATTATTATTCAAACATAAACAAACAAAGTTAGGTTAGAATCGATGTGTGAGGTTTTCCGATACTGATTGCCGCAAGGACGAGATAATCAACCAAAAAAGAAGATGTATTTGATGACTTTTCTAGTATATTTCTTGGGTGCGAATATGTCTTTTTAGTTTACTTCTCCTGGTTAAAAAACAAACCATAGTTGTTTTCAGACGTCAAAAGAATACTGCAGTTTCAGAAATTTGAATTACATGAAGAGGCTATAGTAGACATTGGGACCAAAAACGAATGTTGTTGCATTGTTGTAATCAATGTATAACCCTAGAAGGGGATTATGTTGTCGACTAAAATTGGATTTTGACTAAATTGTATTTTTGTTAGTTACGGCAAGGACTTACTGTCTGAAATGCATAATTAAGTTTCTCTTAATTCGAATCTATTATTTAAGATATACAGTTTTTACGTATTTATTTGTATATTTATAAAATTCTTTTTAATGCGTTGTTTTGATGTTTTAGCCACCCAGGGTTCCAACTACTATATTACGACGACTAATGGCTGCGACGCTAGCGATATATGTGAAGAGGAGACCATAAATCCAATGAAAAATACCAAGACAATATTATGCTTAACTTGCAATACAACTTTATGTAATTCTGGATCATTGTATAAATCTTCAATTCTTACCGTGATGTTTGTCAATATCTTTTTATATTTAGCACATACCATTAGTTTTTCGAACGATTTATTTTAATAAATACAATAGTTCTTGACTAAAAGTATCAGTTTATATTGTTATTTAGTACATATACAGCAATAACAGAAAGGAAGAAAACCAGAACGAAAATGCAGAGAATTTATATTCAATATAAATTTGACAAACTGCTACAAGAATATGGACACGTTTCTTTAATACTTCCGCCATATCATCCAGACTTGAACCCTATAGAAATGGTTTGGGCGCAAATAAAAAATGAAGTTACAAAACAAAACGTTTATTTTAAGTTAAAAGACGTAAAAGTGTTGGTGAAACAGCAATTTGCTAGATTAACTGTAGATAACTGTAACTGGAATAAAGTGTGTGAACATGTTGTAAGGCTAAAGATAAGTATTTGGAAAGTCGCATAGATGTAATTATATAATATGGACTGGAATAAAGTTACTTCAGTGGTGCATGAAATTAAACCCTTAGTGAACCTTACCTATCCCAGTTTATCTCGAAAAAATATGGCAAGTCCTTTTTATACCAAAATACACCAAGAGCTCGGTATCAGTACTATCTTCAAAGAGGTCCTAAACAGTACAGACAAAATAAACAAGGTGATCAAATTCCTCAAGAAAAGTCAACTGCTAAACAAAATATAAATGTTATATTACATGTTTTTATGTTTTTTTTTTTTTTATATTATGTTATCTATATTATTTTGTAATTTTTGTCATATACCATGTAAACCGCAAATTGTAACTCATGCAAATGACCAGATGTCACATGCACGTTAATTTAAATAAAAAAATTAATAAAAATAAACGCTACTCAGTATCACTGATTAATATTATTTGGAAAGAAATCTTAGGCTTTCCCTTCCTATATTTTGCTCTTGGATGCAGATATGAACGATTAAGTTTGCACACAAGGTCTACAAATGACTATATGGAGGAATCTTGAAGAGAGAGAATAAAACGAATAGGCACATAAAAAAATTAGTTAACTATATTTTCATATACCTCTTTACATTTTCTAAAACTTACAAAAAATTTTCTTATAAAATAATGTTTGTCTTCAACATTCAATTCATCAATGTTAAAGAAATCACAGTTGTATGCTCTAACATAATTACATACAGGATCATCCACAACTTTTTCCAGCGCATTATAAAACTGTTTCGTAAACATGCTAGGATATCTGCTGAATAAAACGTCAACAATTTCAAAGAAAACTTCTTCGCTACCTTCAATCCAGTAAACAGCATTATTTGTGCTTGATAGGAAGTTTTCCAAGGCGTTGTAGATCATAAAATGGGCATGACGGTCTTTGCAACCCTCAGGATTCTTAAAACAATATCTAGATTCTTTCTAAATATTAAATTATTTATTTTTTCTTTAGTACTTGTCAGTATTTTATTCAGGTCATTGGAAAACTGGGTTAGAAATGAGTAATTCTCGCAAACAACTTTAACCCCTAAAGAAATTCCACATATTGATTTTATTACATCCAAAATCAACACTTTTGTGTCATAATCAGCTACTACACTAGAATACAACTCAGAAATGAGTTTAAAAGCCATAGACCTCATAAAATCGGTAAAGTCTTTCTCAGTTCTCAGTCCATCCCTGATCAATTCCAAAGTAAAGTTCCTGTGCTCTTTATAATTTACGTCAGAGCTGTGAAGGAAGGTGTACAACTCTGGAATTGTGCTGAAGTCTAGAGAAGATTTCGCTGTCAGATGTTGGGATAGAGGCAAGTACATCACGTGATTGGGCTGCGTCAAGACTAGTGCCATTCTTGCTAGATAGATGGCGGCAAAGTTATTGAGCTTTAAGTCAGGTAACAAGGCTACTCCTGAAACAATTAAATTAGTATATATGAGGAACGTTTATTTTTGATGTAGTAAAAGTTAAAGCACAAACGAATTATTCCTAACTATAGTATATGCAAAATTATATCTTTGCATGATATAACGAGCCATTGAAGAAAAAAAAACGTAATTAAAGCAGGCCTGAGAATAAACCTCCCTTGTTTCGAGTGGTTACTCAATTCCACCACAAACAAAACAACAATGTTTGGAATATGTTTTGAGTTTTTCCAGGTCGTAAATTGGTAACGGATTTTTATAATATACGCCTAAACAAACTTTAAACTCCTTAAACTAGTCACCATTTAGCATGGTGACTAGGCTACTATCGAGCCGTATATGCCTATGATTCAATGGCCATCACAATTATGATTTTTTTATAGGCTATATTTCATTAGATACCATATTTTGAACCGACCGGGCTGTTCAAATACAGAATTATATAGGTATTATATACTATAGTAATTGACGACTGTGATAAGTTTTAGTTTTCCGACTTTCCTCGACATAAGAAGTCTTTATTTCATATTTAATTTTCATCTGTTAGAAAGTAGACGTCATTATTAGAGTTTATTATTATCTGCATCTATTAGTTAGGAGAAATAGTAATTTGCAGCTCGTGTGGCAGCTTGTAAAGCATCGTTAAAGATATTTATACACAGTAGCGTGCACCCAATGTTTTCCTCAAACCGATGATCATAATACTTCTGGTACTACTACAGTACATCTTTGTCCTTAGTATACTCGCCAGATCTCCAAACAGGGTTGAGCATACTGAATGCTTGTTGAACTTTTTGTATCCTCATACGAATATCGTCCTCTGTACCTCCGCTTTTTGTTATGACACTTCTAAGATACGTAAAGTTTTCAACAGTTCAACAATCTGTATATTGTTGATAGTACATAGCGTGTTGTTTCTTGCATTTACTCGCATGTCATCATCATCATCATCCAGCCTCTATTTATCACGTCCACTGCTGGACATAGGCCTCCCTTAAACTCCTCCATTCCTCACGATTTTGTGCTCTTTGTTGCCAATTTTTAGTGATACGCCTGATGTCGTCGGCCCAACGTGTAGGTGGTCTTCCTCTACTGCGTTTGTCTGCTCTTGGCCTCCAATTTGTAATTTTGCTCGTCCATCGTGAATCGTGCATTCTCGCTACATGGCCTGCCCAGTTCCATTTTAGTTCCGCTATGTGTTCCACAACATCAGTAATACTCGTCCTTCTTCGTAGATCTTCGCTTCTTATTCGGTCCCTCAACGTCACTCCCAGCATAGACCGTTCCATTCGTCTCTGTGCCACTCTCAGTTTCGAAGCCGTGGTCTTGGTTAAAGTCATAGTTTCCGCCCCATAGGTCATGACCGGTAATACGCATTGGTCAAACACTTTTCTTTTGAGGCTGATTGGTATGTTGGCCCTAAGTGTGTCTCGCAGTTTTCCAAAGGCTGCCCATGTTAAAGTAATTCGTCTTTGGATCTCACATGTTTGGTTATCCCTGCTGATTCTTATTTCATGACCCAAATACGTATATTTCTCCACCAGTTCTGCCACTTTGTCTTGAATAGTCAAATGGTTATTGGGGACCAAATTTGTCATAAACTTAGTTTTGGTCAAGTTCATTCTCAGGCCCACCTTCGAACATGCAAAATCCAATTCGTTTAACATATCTGTAGCTTCTCCTAAATTATCTGTGATAAGGACAATGTCATCTGCGAAACGGAGATGGATAAGCTTTTCGCCGTCTATCGTTACTCCTCTGTGGTCCCAATTGATCATCTTAAAGGCATATTCTAATGCCGTTATGAATAATTTCAGCGACAATGTATCTCCTTGCCTTATTCCACGATTTATTTTTATTGGTCGGGTTTTATTGTCTATGTTAACAGTCATAGTGGCATTTTTGTAAATATTATAAATAAGCTCACTATACCTATGGTCAATCCTGCTGTCATTCATTGCTTCTATAAGGCTGTCTAATTCGATCGTGTCGAACGCTTTATGAAAATCTATGAAAGTGAGAACAAGAGGTTTGTTATATTCTATAGATTTTTCAATGAGTGTCTTTACTGTGTGGAGGTGATCATTGGTACCATAATTTGAGCGGAATCCTGCCTGCTCTCTCGGTTGGTAGAAATCTAATTTTTTCTCCAATCTTGATGTCACTACCCTAGTGAAGAGCTTGTATATGTGGTTCAACAGGCTAATAGGTCTATAATTTTCTAGGTCCGTTCTATCTCCTTTTTTATGCAAAAGGATGGTTGTAGCATTGTTCCACTCTTTGGGCACCTCTCTTTGCTGCAAACATAGATTAATAGTTTCCTTAATTTATTTAATAGCATATCTCCTCCATTTACGATAGCTTCTATTACGATTCCATCCTCTCCTGGGGCTTTGTTATTTTTCATTGTTTCTCTAATCGATCTTGATCTTCTTTGAAATGGCTGTTTGTATTCCTGTTTTATCTTCTCGTCTACTTCTATATAAGTCCTCGTAAAACTCTTCGACGACCTGTATTAACTCGTCTCTACGTAATATTATTTCATTTTGCTTGTTTCTTAATTTATGAATTTCGCATTTCCCATTCGTTAGCTTTCTACGTAGAACTTTTAGGCTGTTATTTTCCTCTATAGTGCGTTTAATATAATCGGTATTAAATTTCCTTAAATCTCTCTAATTGCTTTCAAAACAGTTTTGTTCATTTTTCTTAAAGTGTTGCTATCTACATTCTTATCGCTTCTCATTTGTCTTCTTTGATCCAAGAGCGTTTCAGTATATGGACTTATTTTACTATCTGATTTTCTTTTAGGACAGTGCACTCGGTGACTTTCTTGTAAGGCGTTTATGATGCAGTTATTCAAGTCGTTAATATCGTTAGCGGAGGTTTCCTGCAATAGAAGCTTATTATTGATATGTGCCTGATATTGGTTGATATCTAATGGGGGTGTCCAGATACCAAGAAATTTATTTTTAATCATTATATTCCTTTCTCTTTTTATATTGATTTGAACTTTCGCTCGTATCATCCTGTGGTCGCTGTTTGTGGTGAACTTGTTGAGTACTGTTACATCTTTAATTATTTGTTTTTGATACTCGCATGTAATTAGTTTTATTAATATTGAGTTTCAAACCTACTTTATTGGCTTCAGTGGAAAGTGTTTCCAATTGATCGGCCCATGGACGTATAATTATACGTCCATGGATCAGCCACATCTTGGAACCTTTGTCCTAACAGGCAGATATCTTCGGCCTCTTCCAGATCGTTTAGGCGTGTGGTTAACGTCCATTGTATCCCTCTTGTGTCGGAGTCTAGTTTAGAGAGAGCATAGTCTACTGTTATGTTAAAAAGAAACAGAGAAAGCACGCATCCCTGTCTGACTCCAGTAAGTATGTCAAATTCGTCTCTGTTGATTCCTTTGTGTGTCACGCTGCATTTAGCCTCAGTGTACAGTGACTTTATAATGGAAATTATTTTATGCGGGATATTTCTTAGCTCTAAAATTGTCCTTAAATCATCATGAGATAAGCTGTCAAATGCACGCTCGAAGTCAACAAAAACCATGTATAGGGGTGTGGTACATTCAACCGATTATACCATTAATATCCTCACAGTATTAATGTGGTCTATGCAGGAGAATTCTGGTCTAAAGCCTGCTTTGACAGCTCGAAATTCAATCTTGTTTGTTAATCTTTTAAGTATGATGGTCGTGAAGATCTTATTTATTGCGGTAAGCTAGGTTATTCCTCTCCAATTTTTGCACAGTGTGAGGTTGCCCTTTTTTAAAGCTAATAATGTTACCCCTTTTCCAGTCCGCTGGAATGCGGTTTGTTTCCCACACCTCTCAGATTATGGGAAGCAAAAGTTCAGGAGTTAGATGCGGATCAGTTTTAAGTATTTCGGCACCAATGTTATCGATTCCCGGAGACTTGTTATTTCTCAGAGTTTTAACAGTTTGGCCCATTTTTTGTTAGTTGTCTAGTAATTTGGTATAGCTCTCTGGTTCTGTTGTGTTGCGCAGCTGTTTCAGCTTGTTTTGCCAGTTCTTCAGCCCACCTTCTTTTGTCTCTTCTTACATTTCTTTATCACTGCTTTATTTATTGTTTCATATTCTTGTTGTTCGTTCGCTCTTTCTTCTACAGTTCTTGCTTGCAAAATATCTTTCATTTGCTGTTTTCTTTCCTCCATAAGGCACTTCTATAATACTACTACAGTACTGCTATAATTTCTCGCAGATATTCGTGTATTAGCAGTCGCAAGAGTACCTCCTTACATCGCCAGCATGCGTAGTTGAGTAGGTACAATGTGACTACCTGATAACGGGTTTGCATCACAGCGCTCAGTCTATTTGTTTTATATGTCTATGAGTCTTTCACAATAAAAAAATAGGTTAAACGAAGTGATACCTTTGCATACTGCTTCGATGTACCTCAGCCACAGCAAGTTGTCTTTCCCAGACTGTCTGGCATCAACGTGGTAATGAAGTCTTGCTAAAACGTGACATGCTGCTTTCCGTGTTTCCATGTCAGCGCTACTCAAGCCAATAATGGTCAAACTTAAAGCACCTAAAACAATACATGATCTGATAAGCTGTACAATTATTTACTTGATCATTTACTTACCTGATCTAGTAAACTTATAAGTCTGTATATGTTGTTCAGGAGCCAACAGTTGACTAAACAAAGGTAACAAAAACGTCAAATCGTAACTTTTAGTATCCTCGACGTCTAACATGCCACTATCTTCAGACCTTAGAGGGCATTTTAGGGGATAATTCGTAATGGTAGAATAAACCAAATGTTCCTGTAAGATATCGAGGACGTCGCCTGTTTTGGGTTGTCTCCACAGAGCTTTTTCCAGCTGTTGTCTGACCGAATAGTGAGTGGCTGCAGCTTTATCCCATAGAAAAGGTTTGAAGTCGTAAAAATGGGTTTGTTCTGGTTTGGATTCGTACCTACAAGGTATAAAAAATATATAACAAGATATCAACAGAGCTTCTGAGATAGATCCAAGAAATGACAAAACAAATGTTTACAAATTGACTTTAATAATAAAAAAAACTAGTAATCTATGGCAAGGGTTACCAAATGGCGGACCGCGGTCCGCATTCGGACCGTGAGCTTGTTTTTTTGCGGACTGCCGTTAAATTCAAAATATAGTAATATAATTATAGTGTAAAATTATAAACAAATCTAAATATATAAATATCATTACATTTTTGAAAGGTAGAGAGTGCTAATACTATATAGAAATACTCATAATCTAAACAATACATTTCGACTAAACGGTTTTTCAAAATTTCATGAAGTAACCACGTCAAAATAATCATTTAGCAAAATATAGAAGCTGTCTGAACACTAAAATTATTTTAATTTGCATATCTATGACGTACTTAGTAACAAGTCTATAATAAAACTAAAATATTTTTCCAAACTTTCAGGTAATAGAACCATAATCAATTTCTTTTGTATTTCAAATTTTGGAATTCTTTTGTATTTCTTAATAACATTATTTCAATTTGCACATTTCTGACATAGTAACCATTCTGTTTAGAATGGAAATAGAATAGAAAAGTGCATCGAGTACAACATACCACTGGTTCTTGCATTTGTCGATTACGAGAAGGCTTTTGATTCTGTAGAGTTTGAAACAATACTGGAAGCCCTAAATCAAAGCCATTTGATTACAGATACACGGCACTAATCAAAAACATCTACGAGAACGCTACATCAAGTATACGACTACACGAAGACACAGAAAAATTCAGCTTAGGTCGAGGAGTTAGACAAGGAGACAATATTTCACCAAAATTGTTCACGGCAGCTCTAGAGTCAATATTTAAGAGCACTCAATGGCAAGATATGGGCATCAATATATAGAGGGTGCCGGTTTACAACATCCCTTCCATGGAGAGGCTTATATGCAACAGTGACTCTTGCAGCGGCTTTGTTCTTGCTGTAAGCCCAATTAGTCCGCTAGCCTTCGACAGCTCAGTAGAGAAACTAAAATGGACTTTCAAAGTTGCTTTTATCTGGCCTGTTGAATTGATATAGTGAAATAAAACAATTACTTGTTTAGAAAGAAACTGTAATTGAAATAAGAAAGGGCAAGAAGTAGAACTCATAAAATTTGAGTGTGTAACTTATCGTAGGAACTTAATTTGAATATTACAATTTGCGAAAGAAAGCGAAAACACCATAACACTTATTCACATATTACGGCTTCCCGGTCAATTGCGTAAACTGCAACGTGGAGAATCCTCTCCGAACTTTTGAAATATAGATGTTAGCCCTACGAAAGTCGCTAAAATCACTGGTCCCGCTGGAATATTTTTTTGTTTATGTATTTTGAAAAGCCGGTCTGTCGTCAAGTAGGCGCTGTGGGCGGGGATTAACATTCTCAGAAACAAGGTCTAGGCAGACTGGATTTATTTAGGTAACCGACGCGAAAATAGAATTATTTGATACAAAATAGAATTATTGGTTTGGAGATATAGTTCTCCAACAATATAAATGGAGAAAGATTAAACCACCTAAGATTTGCAGATGATGTATTAATCGCAGATAATTTACAAGATACAGTTTCTATGATGCATTCGCTTAAAAGTCTGTCTGAAAGTGCAGGATTACAGATGAACTTTGAGAAAACTAAACTTATGACAAATCTCGTAATGAGTGGAAATATAACTATTGACAATAATACCATACAACAAACAGACACTTACAAATATCTGGGACACGAAATCAAAATAAGCAGAGACAATCAAACACATGAAATACAGAGGCAAATAGGCCTAACTTGGGCAGCATTTGGCAAATTAAGCCATATTCTAAAAAGTTCAATTCCCATGTGTCTCAAGCGAAAGGTTTATGACCAATGTGTTTTACCTGTACAAACTTATGGAGCGGAGACTTTAACACTCACGCAAAAATCTGCGAATAAACTCAGAGTTACACAACGAGCCATGGAACGTGCAATGCTGAACGTGAGCCTTCGAGACCACATAACAAACCAACAAATCAGGAGTTCAAGACGTCATCGAAAGAACCACGTCGCTTAAGTGGAACTGGGCAGGGCACTTAGCCAGAGCACAAGATGGACGGTGGACAAGACGTATTATGGAATGGAGGCCCAGAAACTATAAAAGAAGCCGAGGACGACCACCGACTAGGTGGACCGATGATATAAAACGTGTAGCGGGAAACTGGCTACAAGCGGCCCAGTGTAGAGAACACTGGAAAGAACTGAGGGAGGCCTATGTCCAGCAGTGGACGCGATTGGCTGATTGATGATGAACCATTCTGTGGAATTTTATAATAATTCTATTGTATTTAATAACACTAGAGATTATTTGTGACTTTCGATAAATATACCTGAATTCTTTTTTACTTTTGTGTTATTATATTTTAAAAAATTATTATCGTTTGGTATGTTTCAAAATGTCTTAAATTACTGGAAACACATGTGAAAGTGAGTTTTCCAGTTCCACTATAGTTATAATCCAAAAAACATTTGTAGAATTGAAATTAATAGAGATGTTAGAAGATCAAGTTCTAAATTTACGTATTTCATTAATTTTATTGAATAGTTTAAAAAATATTTAAAAGATACTTACATTTTAAGAAGCAAAAGCACAATCCTGTCACATTTATTGACCAAACCTCTATAACTAGCCAACAAGAGAGGTACGTAGTGTCTTTCCATAAATTCGGGCCATTTCCTACACAATTCCAAGTATAGAGACAATATTTCAGTTTTAGTATCACAGTACTCCCCTAACACCGTTTCCAAAAACTCTGAATGAGACGTTAACATGTCTAAGATAAGCCTTCCGTCTTCTACTTCCAAATGTTTACTTAAAAGATGTATCAAAAGCTGCAGAGCTTGCAAAAATACCGGCTGTTTGGAGACACCATATTTTAAACAAAACTTAAAGTATAATTTAACTGTTTCGTTGCTTGCAGTGCTCTTTAAATCGACATCTGTACATTTTTCTTTAATTTTTTTTAGTACCTGTACAAATACTTTCGTCACTTCCACTGCTTTATCAATTTCTGCCTCAGATTTGACATTTTTCTTGAACAAAGATATCTGTAAGTGTACAAAAGTCACTATGATATTATTTACCATCTTATCAGCCACCGAATCTTCTAAAACTTTTGTTACTATAGTGTCCAATAGATGCACGTGGAATATTTCAGTAGAGTCAAATTTCTGGACTTTTTCCCAAAACTGCTTACAGTTCTCAACAGGCATAGCTACTTTTATCAAAGCAATCAGCCCCTGATAATGCTCGTGGTAGTGTTGGCCAACCTTTTGAGGCTTCTGCAAGGTCTTGTTTAAAGACGGCAGGATAAGATCGTAGACTTTTTTGAAGAGTTTCTTGTTTATTTCCTGCTTAGAAAGGACGGCTAACAAAGGGAGAAGCAACGCTTTTTTGTCACACACTGATTTGAGGTGTTCCTTGACATGTTCTATGTTTGAAGGGTGTTTTTCTAGTAAGAAACTCAAGAATTTGGTATTGTCTTTGTGTACTTCCTCCAATTGTAGCACTGATTTAAACAGTTTAGTATCAACATTCTTTAACAAATGATGAAACTTTTTTAAAACATCTAAAAATACTAAAGACAGAGGTGCAACATTTTGTTGATTATTAGCTAGATTTGTGAAATACGATGTTAGATTTAGGATAATCTCTTCTGTAGTTTCACCAATGGATTCTAGAGTGCACAGTTCTGCGAATCTATTCAAAGTATAGCACAAAATGCCTACCACCAAACTATGTTGCGTATATGTAGCAAAACCTTTGGATATTGTTTTTAATATGGTAAAACAATCGTTGCATCCCAATCCAAACTTCGGAAGAAGATTCTTTAACTCCAAAGACATATTCTCATACTTTCCAGGCTTCTTAAGAACTTTCAAAATCGAGTTTGACAATTGTTCTCTATAAAACTTCAAGTACTCTTCTATTTCACACTTTTCGTCTATCAAATATGTAATAACGTTGACCAAAACCTTAGTGATATAGCTGCTGGAATGTCCTCCTTCCATATTTAAGAAGTTGACAGAATTTGCCAAAGTCGGATGGCACAAAATCCTCTGAATCACCTCTGGATCTGACAGATTCTGCTTAATAATACTTTTAGAGAATTTTTCAAACCTTTCAGCAAACTCTAATGTCAAGCTGTTATTATTTAGAAAATTTGATGTATAGAAAATACCAGCGTCCAACAAGTTTAGCTTTAGGTCGCTGTACATGTTAAAATCAACATGTTCAATGAATGTTTCTATGTTTCCGGTCAAAAACTGTTCACTAAACTCTTTAATAACTTCAACTCGTCCTTTAACCTTAGTTAAACACGTGATTTTCTTACAATCTAACCAGTTTGTAGCATATTCTTTAAAAGAAGACGACAAAGCATCGCATTTATTGATAAAACTAACTATTGGACCAATTTGTGTCTGTTGATGCAGCAAATTCGTCATTACAAAAGTGACATATGTCTTAAATATTTTAGATGGTTCATTTTTGTCCAAAAAAGTCAATAAACCAAGCACCGTGGGGCTCAAGTATCGATGTTTTATGGAATTTGTATGAATTTCTGACGAAACTTCTACTTTTAGCATCAGATTTTGGAATATATCGTCGTAATGTTTTTCTCTACTATTTTCTGATTGCATGGAGGATAGTTCCTCGATAAACTTGACTAAATGTTCATTGGTTATTTCTAGAATGTCGACCACATTCTCAGCCACGATTTTGTCAAAATGTTTTAGGTTTAATACTCCGTTAATCCATATATTTATTTCATAAAAACATCCCTCAAATATTGACGTGTTTCTGAATAGCTTAAACAAGACATTTTGAGTAGCAGCATCGGAGCTATTGTAATATATCTTCAACAACAGGGGTACTGTACAACGAAACATCTTTGAACCCACGGTGAATGTGGATTGATTTAAATCGACAAAAACACTAATAATTTTCACTTGCAGCTTCTCCAACGATTCTTCTGCTTCACTCAACTGTTCTATCTTTGCAAGCAGATCTGACAGTTCAGTATCACTACTGCCGAGAGCTTCCAACAATTCAGGAGATAACGATTTGTAGTGGCTGAATATGTCGAAGATGATCTCCAGTAGTTGAATAGTGCTGAAAGGTGAGTTTTCATTCAAATTTTCCCAATCTTTTAGTACAATTACAGCGTTGGGAAAATTTTTTGACAAATGTTTATTTAAAAAGAGCTGAAAGTTATTGTGTTTCTCCAAAGTTAGGTACTTTTTTGAAGCTATCGAGTATTCTTGCAAAGCTCGGAGCATTTCCAGAAGTAAAGAAAGAACATATTGTTTCACAGCAGCATTTTCGTAAGTGTTGTTTTCAGGAAGTAATGTCTTTAATATTGGTAGAGGTAAAACAAGACATTGTACGACTTGGAATAGCTAAAAATAAAAAAATATAATAAATTAAAACGAATATATTGTGGGTTCATGGAGTAAGTGAAGACCTAATTACAAATATTACAGTTACTAAGCAACTGATGGCTCATATAATGAAAACCAACTATCTGGAAAACAGCTGACTGCGACAAGAACTCTGTAAATTCTCAAACGCCATTTCTGTGTCGATAGAATCAGTTCGTGGAATATTTTGGCGGTACAAAGTGACTTTTGGTCTTCTCTAATGCAGAGAGCCGCAATCAGGAATATGCGACTCACAACACTGCCCGCTTCTTTCATAAGTGGATCAGGTCAGAGGATTCTGCCCTTCATAAAGACACAGTCTCTCGTTTATCGTAAAGGTCGCTTATATTTTGTGACTAAGAAAGGTTCCTCCCAGGGAAGCAGGACGAACTTAGGCCTGTAGTCTTGTTGGTCGGTAGAGTAAGACTGCATCACCTTCCTTAATTTCTGATCGAACCTAACCTTCATCCGGTCACTGGTAAGTTGCAGCTTATTCCTGGCGAAATTGTGCATCTTAACCAGTCAATCCTTACAGCCTTTCTGTCTGGTAGCTTTCCATGTAGGACGTCCATGGGAAGCTTCATCTCACGACCTATCAATAGCATTGTTGGGGTGTAACCAGTTGCTTTATGTTGGGAGCTTCGGTAGGCAAGCAGAAACGGAGGTACCAGTTTGGTTTTTTTGGTTTTCATGTACAAACAGGGGCAGATAGTTGTTGATGGTCCAGTTATGTCATTCTACTATGCTGTCGAACTAAGGATGAAGCGATGTCGTTCTGGTGTTCTTAATTCTTGGCAAAGGCATCATGGTCTTTCAAACTTCTGATTCGAAGTTGTGCCTCTGATCAAAATGGGAAAAAAAATCAGAAACCTTATATTGGAAAACCGCATTCTCAAGCAGGGCCTCACCAACTATGATTGCTTCTTGCTTGGGTAATGCAACTACTTTCGGTCATATGGAAAAATAGTCCATAGGAACCATCAAATACTTGTTTCCTGATGTTGTACTTGAAAATGGTACCAGAATGTCGACAGCAACTCATTCCCGTGGAGTCTCGGTGATGTATTGTTTGAGTTTTCCCCCAAGTTTCGTTTTGTGTCCCTTCTCGGATGAATACAGGTCACATCGTTTGCACCATTCTGCCACATTTTGCCTACAATTAACCCAGTAATACTTCTCACGGACTAGTCAGAGTCCTATTGATCCCAAAATATACTTCTATATTTTACGCAGATATTTTTGCAATCTTGCAGTGGGTAAGAGAAATAGGACACGAGGACTTTCCAAACTAAAGCGGATTAATACATGCACAGCTATCCAAGCAGTGTATTCCCCAGTAGATTTGGTTCCTTGTCTTATTTTCGGACATAAGTTATGGTACAGCTTCTTACAAGGGAGAAAGTGTAAATGGAGCTTCTATAAAAATCACTGGATATGCTGACAATACTGTGCTGTTAACAGACATTATAGGCAGCGCATGAGAATCACTTAATGAACAAAGAAGGTCCACACGTAATTAGATGAACTTACATTAGTTTTATTGGTAGCCTTCCAAAGATATTCTGTGGATCAATATTGCATAACACAAATCATTAAATTATAGTCTAAAAATTGCTTAGTAAAAAAAACTATTTACTCTATTAGGATGAACATAACATAAACTTGTCTTACCTGTATATCACTTAAATCCTTTATGCAGTACTCAAGACACTTGGGTCTTAGCTCTTTAACCAAATTTACAGCAAATTTCATGACATTAACCCACTTCTGGGATAATCTGGGTTCCAAAAATGGCTTTAAGTTAGTCCACAGAGTCTTAGCGAGATCTGGACATGCTGCACATATCTTTATGACTAGTTCAGAAGCATATGAGTGTTCCCAAGGCCTAAACACAAAAAAGCACTAAGTTAATTTAGATTTGGACTTGTTAATCAAGGTTGATAATAATATACATACATATTACCAAATAATCTAATTGATTTCCTGCAACATTCATTCCGATGTAAGTTGATGTAAGTGGATTTAACAATACTACTTACCTATCTAAACTTTCTAGCACAGTGTACATCAAAGCATTTTGGTTTTTCTTCCCTAAACCTACTAAATTGTCTTTAAAAATTATTCCATACTTGTGGTTGGTACAAAGTATCAACAGAAATTCATGGACACTCTCATTAACTTTGGACTTTTCAACTTCATTTACCTAAAAATTGAAGAAAGTAATTAATACTTTAATAATAAAGAAATATATAGGGCTATTCTAACACTACAATTTAAAATAATGTGAATTATACAGGGTGCTCCAAATAGAGTAGCAAATAAAAGTTAATTTTTTTCTTATGGAATGCCCTAGATTTGGCATACTTTTGCCATAAATTTTAGATGTCAGTAAACAGTTTTTATTGCAGTGACCAAGAACAAAAATCATATTAATTCATTCTTCTTTACGATAAGTTTTAACATTTAAAAATCATTTCTTCTTACACTCACATGGATACAAAGAATTAAAGATAATTCAAATGACTCTTCATTATAATATATATAGAATACTAGATGTGCCATTTAATAAAAGAATATTATTTAATGTTTCATGGAGGCCAAATTCAACTAAAATAATAAAATGTATTATACAGTATATCTCCAGTGTTTGTTAATGTGTTATGCATAAACCAGTTGATTATAATTATTGTTAAAGCTTACAAATTGGGAAATTTTTAAATATTTCAAAAATTAAAAGAGATAGGTATCAAAAACTTTAATATTTTGGAGTACTCTGTATCATTCACATTTTCTAAATTGTAGTGTTAATAGCATTGTATATTTCTACGAAGTAAAAAACTTATTTGTTTGCGATGTTTTTTGCATATTTGTGACCAGTAGTTCTATTGATGTCATCACTCCATAACACTTGAGGTTTGACTATGCTACTGTCTATACATAAAAATAAGCAATTCCATGGCCTCCTCAAATTATGTTAATCACTATATAATTGTATTTACAATAACCTGGTAAATTCAAAGATATGGGCTAAACCTGTTTGACAAAATGTGTCATTTATTTACTATATATGATAAAAACTTACTGTAATAGTAGAACTCTTTTTCTTCTCAGCTCTAAACCCACCAGGTCCTTTCCAATTGTACAAATTAACAATATCCCTAACTACGGTAGTATTAAATGTCTTCATCTTAGCTGTTTTAGAAACTGATGGATTTTCCAGAATAAATGTTTTCATGGCAGTCACAACCAAACACAAAGTATCTGCTGAATCAAATTTTAAACCACTGATAATACTGGTGAAAAAACCTTTTTTCTCAAGTAAAACTGATAGTGCTGGATAATGGCCATCTACTAGATAAGCTGTCAAAAACTTAATGAAATTATCTCTGGTGCTATCCTTTTCTCCAGTATGTTTAGTAAGCAGTTCTACATTGGCAGAATGAAAGTTAATATGAATTAAAATATCTTTAGCCAAAACTGGAGAAAATGCCACCATGGCTGTTAGTAGCTTCAAACATGATTTTCTCTCAGGTGTTGTTGAACTGAAGTTTATCATTTTATTAAGAACCGCTACATAATTGTTGAGTATGTATCTGCATGACTCATAAGCTGAGCTGTGGTATTGTGGATATAAAGTGTTGATTCTAAGCAGTATATTAGTTATTATATCAAACACAAGGGCTGGTGCAATTGCAGAATTAACTTCTAATGAATGGAGAAGTTCTAAACAGCTTCCTCCACATTCCAGGTACTCAAAAATATAATCATATTCTTCTGATTCTTTTACTGCGTTGGAAAATTGTTGTAAACCTATAAACAAGAAAAATGCAAATAGTGTCTCATACATATACATCTATACGATAGAGTTAAGTGAAATAGAAATAACAGTTGAAGATTAACAATTATTAATATATAAAGTGAGAGAATGAATGTAAAGAATATTTTGTATGTTCCAATAATTAAGTCAAACGAGGACATCAAAAACATACACGAACTAAGGATTCATTGGTTTTAGAAAGTACAAACTAATAAAATAAGTAATTGCATTACACATATCTTAGGATCTCAATAAAACATTACAGGAAATGGATGAAGAAACCTCAAAATATGAAACATTGAAACCATAATTGCAGAAATGTCCAATGTTACTGTATTCAAAATATTTTGAAACACATTATTAACATGGAAACGCAGTGGAACTTAAAAAAATGGAAGTACTAGTAAGAAATTAAGTATTTTGTCTATCAAATAGTTAATCAATGGAAAATATAGGTACTACTGTAGTAAGACGGAACGATGTCTACGGAGATGAAATTTATATCAATGAGATTCTGAATACATAAGTTGGATCAGAAAGACAATACTATTAGGAAATAGTTTGAGCTTTAGACTAAGAATTCTTGATAGAAGTACTTATTGCTAAATATGTTCTTTATTAAAACACCTACATGCTAGTGTATTTGTGTTAAGTTCTTTTCTGAATTCCTTGGCAGAAAATATCCTGTTTTTCTTGACAGGTGTATCTGATTCTTCTGTAGGATTCTGGTTTTTCTTTTTACCCATTTTCACTAATTGAATAATAAATGATTTTTAAATTTCAATGTATGTGTAATATTACAAAACAGATCGTCAACCAACAATATAAACCAAAGTCGATGTAAACATAACCTAACTAAACCACGTTGCCGAACCGAACATAATGTCAGATTCTTCTTCATTTCTTAGATGTAAGGTCATGAATTATGCCTCTTTGTTTTTATGCATAGGTTTTTAGCACTTTTTTTTATTAATGTAACAAGAAAATTGTTATTTATATTGCGGTAATATACTCATTACATCACACTAATTGTCACCAATTCATAGATATAGTTTATATAATATATATAATATACATGCACACATATAACAAATAAAAATTCTCAAAAGCAATTTGGGTTTTATAAGTAACATAGCCATGATTTTTTATGAATACATCGGAAATAAATAAACAACATTAGTTATATCATTTAAGTAATAAATATATTAAAAAATAACTAGTAGGTAATGCACTAGTGTCAGTTCATCCACAACCTTGATGCTGTTTCGGTTTTCTTGGAGGCAGAGGAACACGTGACATGTAGACCATAGATTCTGGCTGAGTTGACGCACTGGTCATATTTCATGGTATAGCTTGAAGCAGTTTCTGTTTTCTTGGATGCAGAGGAATACCTGGCATGTAGAACACCTGATTTTGGCTGAGTTCGCTGAACATCCTGACATTCGGCATTTATTCTTCTTGGCTGAGGTTGAGATTTCTATTAAATGCAAAGTGTGCTTCTTACGGAGCAAGTCTGAAGGGTGGGATACCCTGGGTTGCTTCCGAGGAGGGGGCAAGGAACACTCATAATCTGGATCACTATCCTTCGAGCTCTCCTGATGACCATGGGCTAGGAAATATGCATACTTTTCTTTAAAACTGAAGAGATCCATAATATCTTTCCTTCTTCTTCTTCAAGTTCCACTCCTATCGGAGATTGGAAATCATTCTGGCAATTATAATTTTATTGGTTACTCGCCTGAATAGTTCAATTGAACTGCATCCAAACCATTCACGGAGATTGCGTAGCCACGAGATTTTACGTCTTCCTACGCTTCTTCTACCTTTGATTTTACCCTGCATTATATTCCTTAGTAGTTCGTACTTTTCACCTCTCATGATGTGCTCCAAGTATTCCAATTTCCTGATTTTTATAGAATTTAACGCATTTTTTTTCCTAGTTGTCCAAGCTTCAACTCCATACAAAAGGGTAAAGAAAATATAACATCGAAGCATTCTTATCCGGAGCGATATATTGATATCGCGATTACAAAAAAGTTTTCTCATTCTATTAAAAGTTGACCTGCGCAATTTCAATGCGGCATCTTATTTCTTTTGTCTGATCAGTATCTTCTGTGATCCATGCTCCAAGGTATTTGTACGAAGATATTTGTTCAATTTCTGTATTATCTAGTACTAGCTTAACTTTGATGTTTTGTGCTTTTGTAAATATCATGAACTTGGTTTTCTTCAAATTGATTTTTAGTCCATAATCGTTGCAATATATATTTAGTTGTTCAGCAAGGTGTTGCAGTTCTTCTAGTGTTCCTGCCAGAAGGACGGTGTCGTCAGCATATCATATGTTATTAAGTGGCTCACCGTTTATTATAAGGCCCTCACTGATCTCGGCAAGCGCTAATTCTGAGATGACTTCACTGTATAAATTGAATAACAAGGGTGATAAAATACACCCTTGGCGGACCCCACGGCGAATCTGGATATCCTTGGTCAGTTCGTTTTTAACTTTCACTTTTGCTATTTGATTCCAATAGAGGTTACAGATAATTCTAATGTCTCTACTGTCTATGTTTTTATTTAATAAAATTTCTTTAAGTCGATTATGCTGCACTCTGTCAAATGCCTTCTCAAAATCAATGAAACAGGCATATACTTCCTGATTAATATCTAAGCATCTCTGCGAAAGAACACTTAATGCAAACAGTGCATCTCGTGTTCCCAGTCCTTTCCTAAATCCCATTTGTGTATTACTTATGCCTTCATCTAATTTCTTATGTATTCTATTGTGAATTACTTTTAAAAACAATTTCAAGACATGACTCGTTAAGGCTATGGTGCGATGTTCATTGCACTCCTTTGCATTGGCTTTTTTGGGAAGCAGTATGAATGTTGATTGGAGCCGTTCTTTAGGTATTATACCTGTTCTATGTATGGTATTGAATAGATCCAAAAGAAGATCAATAAATTCAGTATTCACAATTTTAAGTAATTCGATAGGAACTTCATCAGGCCCGGGAGATTTACCACCTTTAGCTTGTTTCATTGCATATTCAATTTCTTCTCGTATAATGTCAGGCCAGTATCATCCTTAAATTCTTTTGGTGCTTCTGTTCTCTCTTTTTCTTCAAAAAGTTGTGCTATATATTGTGTCCATCTCTGCATTTTTTGGTTTATATCTGTTATAAGTGCACCCCTTTCATCTCTTAGTTGCCTAGTTTGAAGTGTTTTTCTCATTCCTGTTAATTCTCTAATTCTTTTATGCATGTTAAAAAAGTCATATTTTTTCTCAATTTCTTCTAGTTCTTGGCACTGCTCATGTAACATTCTCTCCTTAGCTTCTTTTATTCTCTTTTTTATTAATCGATCAGTTTCATTATATTTAATTGGATTTTTTGTTTTGAATGATTTTCTTTCATTCATTAATAGTATTATTTCTTCAGTCATCCAATCTTTATGTTTTCTATTCTTTGGTTTTAAGTTTTCATTTGCTGTTTTAATTATTGCTACTTTTATATTTTCCCATTTCTGATCAATGTTATAGCTACTTTTATTCAGTTCTTGTTCCTTTGTTTGTGGTTCCCTTAATCTCTTAATATCTATTCTACTTTGTGTGGGTTTTTTAACCAGTTTTAATTTGGTTCGTAATGTGACTACTATGGGGTTATGGTCTGAACCGATGTCTGCTCCAGGGTAAGTTTTGGCAGACAGTATAGAATTACGAAATCTTTGTCTAATAAGGACAAAGTCAATTTGATTTCGGATTATTCTATTTGTTGTATCACCGGGAGATTTCCATGTATACAATCTTCTTTTTGGTAGCTTAAAAAGTGTATTAGCTATTACAAATTCTTTCGTCTGGCAAAATTGTATCAAACGGTCACCACGTTAATTTCTATTTCCTTGACCACATTCCCCCACATATCCATCCACTCTTCCCTGGCCAACTTTGGCATTGAAGTCGCCCATTACTATTGTAGTGTGATGTTTCTTCATTGATTTTAAGACTTGTTCCAAATCATGGTAAAACAGTTCGATATCGTCGTCATCTTTATCTGCCGTAGGAGCATAAACTTGAATAAAATTTACTATACCTTTTTTAGACTGTAGTTGTATTGATAAGATCAGAATAAGGAGTAAAACTTACCACAGAGTAATTGACCTTTTTTTCAACTAAGATAGCAACACCATAGCGATGATTGACCTCGTTGTTACCTGAATAATACATGGTTCCATTATTTGTAATTTGTTTGCCTGAACCTGGCCACTGTACGTCACTTATAACTAAAATATCAATTTGGAGGTTTTCCATTTCAAGCAGTACGTTCGCTAATTTACCAATTTCATATAAACTTCTGACATTCCAGTACAATGTTGATAGAACAAGTCTGTTGCGAGTGGCATGCGCCTATAGGACTGTGTCTGCGGCAGCCTTATGGACCATCACTGGATGAATTCCGTTGCATGTTTTGGCGGTGGAAAGAAAAGAGCTTTATGAGAGAAGAGGCCCAAACTTTACTATGGCTGAGAGAAGACAGGTAAGGGAAAGGTCAGTTGAAAGATGGCAAGAAGAATGGAACAATACGGAGGATGTGGCACAGTGGACGAAAATGCTGATCCCGAACGTAAGAGCTTGGGTGGACTGTGGCCACAGGCGACTGGATTATTTCCTGACGCAGGTGCTCACAGGACACGGGTGTTTTAGGGCCTACCTTTATAGGATCGGAAAGGTTGATACAGATGAATGCCTATATTGTGGATACTCGGACACTGTGACACATACGATGTTAGATTGCAGCAGATGGATAGTGGAAAGGAACAGAATGGAGAGAGAGACAGGTGTGAATTTTGTTACAGTGAGAGAAATGATTGAGAGAATGATTGAAAATAAATTAGGTTGGATTAACATACACAGTTATATCCGTGCAGTGATCAAGAAAAAGGAAGAGGAAGAAAGACAGTTGGACCAACGGCAAAGGTAGAGTGAATGATGCTGAAAGGTGAAGTTAGAACAGTGGGTCACACTTTTTGAGTTAGAATGCGTGAGTTTGACTGTGGGGAAGGAGGAAATGCCCTTCTGGGAATGATCCCGAACTAGGAGTGTGGATGTGTATGAATGGAGAATGAATGAATAAAGGTAGTGCTTCGAAAGTGATGCCGGCCTTACAGCGGCCATTCCGCTTCCGGATCGCTGGATGACAGAGGAGGGTCTGGTTTAGCAGGTAGGCGTTCGGCTGTAGACTCGGCGACGAGAGGGCATTTTAAAGTACCTCGGGAACTATCGTCGGGAGTACGAAGAACGAATCCTGCACTAAGGTTAGTCAGGCGGCGTCCTGGACTGAGATGTCTTTTGAAGATTCCAGATCCCCTCTATAAAGACGCAAAAAAAGGTTGCTATTTTCAATGTCTTAAGTCCACAGGGATTTCTCTGGTTTACGACCTGGGAGGCCCTGTGATCTACAGTTATTCCTCCCCTGCCGGATCTTGGATTCCGTGCTCCATAATCAGTAAGTTTGTTTACTCTACTTGTCATTTGCCATTCATGACTTTACTAGGGGTACTCTAAGAGTCTTTAATGCAGTGGTTCTCCGTTGCCTTCTGCATCCTTCGCCGTTGACATATTTTTCGATTCATCCGCCTTTAGGACCAGTTTCCCAACCCTTGGACAAAAGGGTTGGTCCCAACCCTTCCACTTATTAACTCATCCGTCCGCAGCCGTTGGTCATAAGTGGGGGATTGCTTATACCGGCAATTATTCGTCGACTATTCTGTTGGTCCACGGGAGGTATTTTATTTCCCTCCTACCCACCGGTA